GTGTACAGGAGAATGATATTATCTTCTCTTGGATATGTCTGACCACTGTCATAATTATACAGCAAGAATGCCCACTGATTTTGGTGGAAGTAATCGCACAGAAGGGGCAATATTCATTGTGCCATCAAAATAAAGAAGAATAATAGAAGTGTTTGAATGCAGAATCTAAATATGATCACACTTACAAACATTGGACTTTGTTTTTTACTGTCCTCTGCCATAAATGCCCATATATTTAAATGTATACACCTCTAAGTTTTAAATGTTTTATTTTTGGGCGAAAAACACTAAAAAAAAGGAAAAAAAAAACCCCATACATAGATATTCAGCACCTCACAGGTCCAATGATAATTAATGACCTTCATAAACATCTAATGAAAAATGAATTTATGTCACTTAGCCAAATTTATTTCTGTTTGCATTCCATCCTTCTAGATTTTTTTTGTTTCCATATTGCTGAAAGGCACAAAAATATCTCAAATTTATTCAAGCTGTTATAGAAGAAATGCGCACAGAACATTAAGTAGTTGCTCAAATGTTGCTGAGCAGTAAAATACTATGATAAAGTGGCAACTTGCTGTGTCTCTATTACTTCTTCAGCACTAAAATTAATTTATGATCAGTCATCAATTCATTTACATGTCATTTTATGCTAAATCTATCGTTGCTGATGAATGCATATCCCTAGATCCATTAAGCTAGAGTAAAGTCTGTGCTTTATAATATGACCCTGCTAATTGTTGCATTACCATTTTTATGAGATACAAAAAGTAGCAGTTTCCTATTTTCTGAGCACATATTTAATCCATGAAGCACATTCTTCCTATTAAATGCAATCTGTCTAACTGCTTATAAAACAGAACCTTTTGCAATAGGTATCCCTAAGCAAATCAATACAAATATTGAGCTGAGCCATGGTAAAATATGGCTCATGAAAATGATACTGTGCAGTTTTCAAGAATTATTCCATTTGTGCTCAGACACAGTGAATGATCAACTTTTTCCATACAGACACTGATCAGTGAGTCTTTTAATCAAGACCAAAACATGTCAAATAAGGGATATTCTTCCTTGCTGAGCTACACAATCTGAAGAGATTTTTATGATTTATATCTATATAATTCTATTGAAAAAAAAAATGTAACTCATTTGTTGAGGCACTGTTTACAAGAATAACTCTCTGTTTATATCAGTTTGTATCAGTTAGATAGAAGAGGACTTGCTCTAATTTCCATGCTAGTTAATGAGTCAAACTCTTTCCTCAGTCAAAACGCAGCAGGACTGAAGATACACAGCTCTCACTACCAGCTTCACTGGTGCTGCAGCAGGAGGAGATAAGGAGAGGGCAATGAAAACCCCCAAACCATAACACTTTGACCTGAAGAAACGTAGGCTTGGTCTTAGTGATTTCAGTGAGAAGCAAATTAATTTCTTCTAAAATCATCATATGCAATTAATTAAGTCTATTAAATTAAAAAAATGCAACAGACTCTTTGTGGCCATTCATGCCATAACTCTGCACAGCAATTAATTACAAAGTCAAACATTAAACATAAGAGAAAGAAAAAAACATATTTCATTGTGTCTCTGAAAGCAAAAAATAACCCTAAATAATTATGAATTAAAAGTCAAGTAAGGAAAAATTCTACTGGTGTTTTTTGGTTCTTTCTTTCTATTTTCTTTTTTTTTTAGCAGATTCAGTGACTCAATATCCTAGCAAACTATACTGGGAATGAAGCAAAACCTTGGCTTCAATTTCATTTTATATCCCACAAATGTGCAAATTTAAACCTCCCTCCTTGAATTCTTTTTGTGATATCTGGAGAATGTTAAGATACAGTTCCTGTGCACTCCTCCTTTCTTTTCACTTTATTATACATGTCAACATTATGTCTCTACCACCTGCAAAGAGAAAAGCTTAATAGTGCAGATTAAATCCTTGTCTGCATCTTCAGTTAGCTGTGACTAAAACTCAAGGGCCTGGAAGACACCTTGACTTTTAAACAGTTTAAAGGAGCAGCACTGTGGTGTCAGAGGGATTCAGTAGTTTGTGCTTTGGCTCACGCAGTGCCACTGCTTCCCCTTGGAGAATCCCACATTTGGCACTGCAGGAAATCCTTGTTCTCAGCTCAGCCATGAAGAACAAAGCCCCATTTCAGTCCAAGAGCGGGTCTCTTTGAGGCATTGCTGAGGCTTGCTAACACTACAGGGTGAGGAACCTCGCCCTGCACCTGCCACAGCAACTCTCTCTGGAGTAAGTTTGGACCAAGGGATGTCAACTTAGATTTCTCACAAACACTGAACTCCCAGGGCACTTCAGAATGAACAGAAATATTGCTTCATCTGGGTCAGCTGTTCTCATCTGCCTCTATTTTTAAATATGTTTAAAGAAGTGAAAATGTGATCTATAAATTTCTAGAAAAATGCTGGCTGAAGTCACCAAAGGCTCTGTGAAAAGAAGTAGCTTATATATTCTCAGCACAGGAAAGAACAATTTAGTTGTTCTACAGTATTTTAAAAGCAATCAAATTGAAAAATGAGAAACAGCTTGGGAACAACTGAAGCAATTTGCTATACACTCCTTAACACCATTAAACACAGCCTAGAAGAGTTAACAGAAACAGAGAAAGAAAAATTAAAATTATCTTTTAAAAAACAAAATTTGCCCAAGTATAATAGGCAATTCCTTTCCACCATTAGGAAAAAAAAAAAAAAAAAACAAACCAAACCAAAAACCAAGCCTAATACAAACTCTTCTAAAATCAAGGTTTTACCCATGTAGTAACTGAGAAAAACAGAAGTAGTTTGTTATTTGGAGATTTTGCCATCTTACAGGCCCTTTAGGCTAACACACTGGGTGTACTTCTGTAAGGCTATTATTCCTTAATTAAGTCAGTCTAAATGTTGGCTAAGTGCTATAGGGACAGTCTATAATTTTACCTCCTCTCCAGCTTCCTGCAGTGCCAGCACACACCTTGCCATGCAGTGAACCACACAGAAGGAATCATCCAGCTAGTAATTAAACAGATAAATAAACAGCAAAAGAAAAACTTGAAAATTTCAGCTGGATGAGGCCACATGAAGTTACTGGTGGTGATAAGTGGAAGCATATTTAGATCATCTTAAGTATACTCCCAGTCTACATTATGAAGTTCTGCCCAATTTCTTCCAAAATATCAGGAAGCCTTTAACAATCGAGTAATTAGACATTTAACATTCCAAAAATTAAACAAGATTTTCAAGGTTACTCAAAATGTATAAATTTTAATAAGAACTAAAATTTCAAATTGGAGCAGGAATACAACTATTCCTTATTTGCTCTAGGGAGGGTGATCCAAACTATTAGGTGGAGATGCAAATGTGGAAACATTCATTTTCTGATTTACAGATACATAAGCATTGCCATATTAATATCTACCAAAAGAAAAATGTATACCAATCTGTTTTTTTTAATTTATTTTTATTTATTCTACCAGTCTAAAACTCTTAGTGAATTGCTAACAGAAATGCTTCTGAGCCATTAGTGAGATATGTAAAAATATGCAGAATTATAGCCTGAAGGAGATTACACTAGAAATTCAAGCAAAGTGAGTTAACATATGCATGCAGTAAAAAGTTAACCTTCTCAATTCAGGGATTTAAACTTTAACTGTATGGCCTTCAGTTGCATCTGGATTTCAAATCGCAGCAGCAGAGATACAATTCTTAAATCTTAATTTGATTGGCAAGCGGTCTGGCTCTAGGGTGAAGGAAAACACGGAAGGTGGGATTAAGCTACACACTATTTCATTCAACAAGGGAAAGGAAGAAAATAATAGTATTGATGCTCCATCACTGTCATATTCCTGCAGTGTTTTCAGAACAGCAATCTTTAAGCATGAGTGCAAAAGCCTTGGAATTTCAGAGGTCCAGACAAAGAAGGAACACAGTGGTGCTATGGCAAGAAGTTTTTCTGAACAAATCTCCCTTAAGGTAAAACCAACAATGAGTGCTTGTCTGCTGAGATCAAAACCTGAAGCAGCACCCACTAACACTGTGACATTGGGGATATTTGGGTCTCCAGCATACCTTCACATTATGGACACAGTACACTGTACAGAGGCACTGGTTCAACCTAAAGAGCACTGCACTGATGTTTCCAAATAATGCATGGTGTCCGTATAAAATCTGTGTTTTTGAAAAACAATGTCTTTCACTGCTTACAATTTACCAACAACACTTTAATTCATTCAGACTCCATGCATTAATTTATTATAGCAGGCCTTTCTAGGTCCCCTTTGATGATGATGTAGCTTTCCAAGGCATGCAAAGGACAGGAAGAAGTGAGTGAAGGAAGGTCAGAATTATTAAAACAGATTTTCTAAAAGGGAACAATTACTAAATTCAGCAATAAAAAGTATGTTCAAAATACACATTTTCCTACATAAATGTTGTATTTACTCTAGAAGTAAATGTTGTGCAGATCTAGCTGCACTTACTCTGAAGTCTTTAACTTCCTTGTGTTAATCTCGGAAAGCATTTGCCCAGCAGAATATCTAAAAGTGTTTTAAGATTACCTTTTTATGCTGGTCCTGATTTATGAAATATATATTGCTAAACTGAGGTCTTCCCCCTCCTTTTTATGTAACTGCCTTGCTTCTCTAGTAGAATGAACCTTTCATGAAAGCTAGGATATAACTGAATTTTCTTTCAAGTCTTTAAAGCTTTTTAAAATTCATGAATTTCCTTATCATTTTTCAGCAAAGCAAAGTATTTCCAAATCCTTCTTTAACTTTAGTGTTTAGTATATTAACATTTTAAATGTTATAGAAATCGAGTGGAATAAATTCTCACTTAGAAAGTGTCCAAATTGTGATGCATTTTACTGGTAGCAACAAGCTGGTGTCACTATGTTTGGTTACCTGTTACAGAGCTGTCTAGATTGTCCATACTGGAGCCTGGAGTATGCTCTAGACCTCTTAGTGGCCTACTGATTTCTACAGTTTCTTCTTCAATATCATCCTCATCATCATCGTCATCTGGAACATCTGTTTCCAAATCTGAAATAAGGTTTCCAGATACGTATCCTAGGGGAGGAACTGGAGCCTGAGGAGGTTGTGTATTGCTTTGGATGTGCCTACACAAACAAACAGGAAAAGTTATCAGAATGGATAAGACTTTGCAGCCCACGGTCAATAAAACACAAGCCTTTCAACAAGTCCTGCAGTATATTTTAAAAATGTGCTTGGTTAGGCCAAACTCCAGAAACTTCAGTTCAGTTATTCACTGCAGCTCCTAATACCAGAGTGCTTGCACACTTTCCAGTCTAAAATAAAAAGAAACAAGATAAAATCCTCTAGGATGGGGAAGGTCAGGAGTGTCTTCTCACAGTCAAAGAGTGATAGACACAGAGGCTACATAAATCAGGTAGGAAACCCATGGAAAAGCACAATTCTGAATCCCAGCCCAGCATATAAGTGTCTCACCTAATATTCCCCCTTGCAAATCACACATTGAACCAAAGTTAAATCTCACTCCTTCCGCTTAAACAGATGCAGTGCCTGGAGCAAAATCTACCCTAAAGAGGAGGAAATGGCCAGTAGGACAGAAGAAATTTTCAAGTCCAATGAACACATCATCAGTGAGGCCTTTTCATTTTGCTTTATTCCAAGAAGTTTAATTGATTTAATTGCAGCAGTATTAGGGCATGCATGTGTGAAATTACTGCATGCAGCAATTACAAAAAGAAAAAAAAAAGAAAAAAGAAGACAAAAAAACCACCCACAAGATAGCTGGATACCTAAGTGGCCAAAGGCAAGCATGGGATTCAGAGTTTGATGTGCCTGGTCTCTGAGAGAGAAGAACGCCAAAGAGCAGCATTCCCCACAGCACAACAGGTACACAGCAAGCTGTGCCAGGGGACCCAGGCATGACTGGCCTTGGCACAAGAGCATGTACCATGCTTGAAAGTGCTAACTTAGGCACTTAGGTGGGAATCCTTGGGTGGCTCTACATGAGGTGCCATGACCTGATTTGAATCAGCAGCACTCTGGATGGGATCCAGGATTCTGCTGGTCTCTTGCTGAAGAAATTACAATTGTCACCTGTTTGGCTCCCAGCTATAATACATTTTCAGTGGAAACCTTGTGCTGAATTATTGCCTGCATGAATGAATTCTCTTTATTCAATGAGACTTTCTTTTTTATTTTCATCATGTAAATCTATCAGATATGAGAATGTCATGGTAAATGTTAGGTACCACAGGTAACTTTCTCAGCTCAGTGTAGGTTTTAACTTATTGCTTATTCTGAATCTAATTTCCAGAACAAGTGCTTCCTTTCGGACATACAGCCCCTTCTGATTAACAGTTATTGAACACTTTTCTGCCTGGACACTAGGTTTTTAGTGCTCTACACAGTGTTCAAAACACTGGGGCACTAAAGGGCACTACCATCTAACTAACCCTCAATAAACAGTGTGATTAGCTCCTAATCAAGCAAAATGCTTAAGTACATGTTTAATGTTAAGCTTTCGATAGAACAATTGAAGTCAATTTCTCATGTACTCATAGTTAAGCATATACTTAAGTGATTTGCTGGATCAAGGCCATAATGATTATGTACTTTTCCAGTAATCTCTAATGGGCTCTTTCTTAAATTCCTAGTTGGCTGATGTCTGTATTTCTCAGTTGCTACTCCCACAGTACCCTGAGACCCTGACAGATCTCATTTTGCTGTTTAGTTTTCCCCTGTCTCTACAATGGACAGGTTAACTTTGTGAAAAGAAGACTGAAAAAATATTCCTCCCCAGTCAAAACAACGGAGGACTTTCTACTAACATATCCAGACAAAGAACAAAAAATATATTAAAAAATTCCATGTAATAAAAATCACTTGTATGTAAAAATCACCCTCAGCATTTGGCCCAATATCCAAAAGGTGTGAAAAAAAAAGGCCATGTCCTTGTTATTTTTTTTCTCAGAGTTTCAGGCTCAATTACTGTGACTTTACACAAGAGAGACATTAAAATTTGTGTAATCCTAAGCACATTATGAAACTTCCCAATCAATTTTCATTTCCCCAAAAAGGGAGCAAGACCTTTCCCGCCAGCTGCACGAGGCTTTGGTGTGGCGTCCTGCTCCATTATCCGTGCCTGCACTGGTTTGGAGGTTTGGAGGGCGTAGGAAGGGTAACAGCTGCACAATGCAGCAGCCACTGCCTGTGCTGGCAGGGTGTGCATCTGTGTGCTAGCTCAGAAGCCAGGACCTTCCAGAGGCCAGGTCTAGCTGCTGCCTGGGATTTGGGTCTGTCCCACAGGCAGGCTGGGGTCGGTGCTGGCAGAGCGGCGCTGCAGTGGGACCGAGGTATCCTGTTGATCGAGTGCAGATTGCAGACAAGCCCCGAGGCCTCCACAGTGCCCAGGGAAAACAGCTGGCTTTGGTTTGGCACCGCCTGCCTACCTGCCTGATGTATTTATGGGAGCTCAAGCTGAATAACTTTGAGGTTTTATTTAGCAGGGAAGAAAGGCTGCTCCTCTGCTGGCAGCGTGCCATTCGGTAACTGGCTCTGCTCTGCTCCGCTGAGAGTCGCGGGCTTTGTCTGGGTAGGGGAGTTGTAAAAGGACAACTGCTGCTCAGGGAACATCCAGGAACCAGCTGACCTTCACCATGTCCCCAGCCTGGTGCAGTTGACAAGTTCTTTCTCAGTCCCTGAAGAGATTGCTTCTGTTTGTTTTGCAGGGGAAATGTTACTGTGGTATTTGCTTGCTCTTCCTTTAAAGAGGCATAAAGCACTCTGAAACACTAGATCCATCCTATAAATACTAACAACTTGCTTTCTGCTGTTTCTGGGTTTTTCCTACAAGTCAGAAATTCTCATGGTAGTTCAAAGTACAGTGATGTAAATAATTCGTGCTCATGTGACACAGTGTAAAAGCTGCCACATTGCTATTTCAAGAAACTAACATTATTTTTAATCAGGAATTTAGAATCTTATTATTTTTTGAAAATCCTAAAAATTTCCTATCTTCTGCTAGCCTGAAAAGAGAGTACTCTCAACTGTATAAAAGCTGTCAAGAGGTGGGTATTAACCACATAGACAAACACATGTAAAAATTTGGAGGATTATTGTTTCTACATGTTTTCAGACAAAATTTAGCATATCACCTAAGTATTAAAGTATTAAATCATAAGTATTATGATTTAAAAAGCAGATGTAGATGTGTAAGGCCTTCCAGCTGTGGGCAGAGTTTTGCTATTCTTCCATTTTACTTCTTTGGAAACATAATTGAAACACTGTTAACAGTCATTATTTATGTCAAAAAGGAATGTAGTATTGCTGTTGTTATTATTAATATTAATATTATTATTTAATTTCCCTGATCACAGGTGACCCCATCAAACATTTACCATGTCTGCTTTGCTATATCAAACTGGTAAGCCCTTGTTAACTCATCAAGGTGAGCTTGAAGCATTGGCTGCATCTCCTCTCGTGGGGAAGGCGTGAGAGTTGCAGTCGACTGCTGCCCAAAGGAGATGGCAGGAGATGAAGCTACTCCCCGGACAGGAGGTGTGGGGACACGATCATCATCTTCTTCAAGCTCATCTTCCATGCCCTGATGCAGGTAGGTCTGAACTGGCAAAGGTGGACACCAACCATCACTGTCATATCTACAATAAAAACCAAACAAACTTAGTCTATATCAAAACTCATCTCTGCTGCGCAGTAGAGGATGTAGAGGGTATACAGGAGTCCTGCTACAGTTGGAAACCTTGCTCACAGTGTGAGTCCTAAAAGTTAATAAAAATAGGGTCTTAAGTGCCTAGATTGTCCTTACTGAGTCAGTTTAATTTTTCCCACAACAGCTAAGCAACTTGAACAAGATATGCAACAGAAAAACTACTGACCCATTATCACATTCATTAATGGTGATTAGATAATGTTGCACCACAATCAACAACAAAAATGAACTCACTTCCAGGATCATTAATGTAGGAGAATGAATATTGACCTGGACATGAAAATAGCAGCATTCTTAAAACGCAGAGCAAGCTTTGTGTAGTAGCACTTATTCACTTATTTCACAGAATCCCAGAAAAAGATGAGTTGAAAATGACCCACAAAGATCACCAAGTCCGACTCTTGGCCCTGCACAGCACCATCCTCAGGAGTCACACGATGAGCCCAAGAGCATTAACCATTTACTTCCATCCTGCCCTTTATCTGCCTATAAATTTACCATTTTTTTCTGGTTTGGAGCTTAAATAAAAAGCTACACTTTCCTCATAAATTCTGGCCTTCCCACCCTGCACACGGGTATCTCCTGTGATGTGCCATACATCCATGTCACAGCAGCACTGACCCCAAGCATATGCTGTGTCACAGCACCAGCTGATAAGGTACATTAGCACACATGTTGACAGCTCTGCCAGCACCCCCACCTCCTAACCAATCTGTACTGGGACTTACCTAGACAGTGCTATGTTTCTGAACACATTCAACACACCTGCCCAAAGCAGATGGAAAAATTAACCACTAGGAGTATTCTTGAATAACAAATTCTTCTTTCTTCAGGCATAAAGGGTGTCCTGGTAGGAGTTTGTGGTTTTTGTTGCCTTATACCAAATGTGTAAAGGTTGGTGCTATATCTGATCAGGGCTAGAAACAAAAGCTTTGTATTTTATTATCACTTCTTACACAAGTTTTGCCAGCAAGTCAATTCTTTTCAGTCTCTGCACTCATCAGAGGATCTTTCAATTCAGTGTTGTACTACAGTATCATCCTGGGATACTGTCCCTTAGAGACTGGCATCATTCCAGGTGGATAGGCCTTAGTGACTGTGGTCATTCCCTGTGCATCACCTCCCCTGAGTAATTCCCTAATCTGAACACAACTTCAGTTGTATGCAGCTTTGCTGACAATCACACCACTCAAATCTCAACTGTCTACTTTTTCCATCTTCAAAACATCTAGTCAGACATCAGTCCCTTGAGCATCAGCACACATTTTTTCTTAACTCCTGGTGTATTCCAAAATAACTCAGGATACACAGTTGTGCTTTTTTTTTTTTTTTTTCCCTCAAAAAACAACCAGACTACCACAAACTCTCACAGCTCCTTCACTGTTAAACCATCACACACTCTAAAGGCCATTTCCCAAGCATCATCTAAGTCACTTTATCATCTTTCCACCTTCAAGGACTGCTGACAAGGTCCTTTTTTCTGCAATGCAGGCAGGCATAGCATTGCACGATACAGTTAATTTCTCAAACCAGCTTAAAAATACTCCTTTAAAGCTTCTGATTTGGAAGGAAGGATTTACTAATTTCCCAAAGAAAAATGAATTACTGTCAATTTTCTCAAGTGTGAAGCCAGGTTATAAAAAGGCTGGGAACACTGAGATGGAGAAGTTGCAAAACCTGTATTATGAACAGAACATTTACTTTCAGCAAAATTCAAAGATTTCTTATATTAACTAAACTACTTATTCCTTTTTCAGAAGTCTGTAGTCTGCATTTAAACACACAGATTCAGGACAGCTGACACAACCAGACTTAATCATCCAAAAGTCCATGGAAGATATATCTGGTAATTCACACTTGCAAAAATTTAAATCTCTATATATGTAGATATAACCATAAAAAGCTATACAAACACATATGAGCACAGAAGTCAAAATAAAGGCTGCTTCTTAACATCTGGCCTCTAGGAGAGGTTGAGTGATTGATCATTACCATTTTCATAACATAGAGATTTAAGAAAACGTAACAGGATACATATTCATCCTTAGCAAACAAATAAGACATGACCAGCTGTAATTTGTCTTCCCAAACAATATTTACTCAGGACATTTGCAACCAAGGCTGAAGGGACCATCCTAAATCATGCTGTGAAAAACTGTGCAGTGAAACAGTTCTCTTGCTGCCTTTTGCTCTCTCAACCTCATGCTTTGCTATAATGCCTTCTTCTTTAAAAGAGACAGGGAAAAGTCACTCCCTGGTGACTTTGCAATGATGAATAAACGAGCTTTGGATGTGCTCACCTTCTGACCCTACTCGCTTCAAATCCCCAAATGTTCAGCTCAGTGGCAAAAAGGTTTTTTAGTAAAGAGTTTTCTCACTGAAAAGATTCTGCAAAAGTACTGTACCTTTACCCAAATTTTGTTTGAAATGGAAAGCAGCCTAAGCCTGAAGTTCAGGACACTGAGATTCAAGATTTCAGGTACAAGAACCTTTGTGTTCTTAATGTAAGGTGTCTGAAAAGCCAAAAGCCCTAACCTTCATTTTAGAAAAAACAAAATAAAACAAAAACCCCCCAAAACCAACAAAGAAAAAAACATGGAAAAAGTAAACCTGAGAGACTACATAGTAACTACATGTCACATAAGTGATACAGCTATAGAGACACCTGGTAGCACCATAATAATTATAGGCCACATCCATGTTCTTTTTCGTTTTTTGAGAAAATCCAGTGTGGTGAAAATGCCACTTTTTTCAAGCACACTTATTGAAATCTAAGTGCCTTAACTTCATTAGCAACCTGTGATTGTAATTTCATTATAATTAAGATCCTAATAAGTTCTGGTTAACAAAAATGAGCCTCTATTTTTCTAATAAGTTTTATTGTATTGTCAGCACTTCAATAGTAATCTTTTACTATTAAAAAGCTCAATTCATTATGTTAATAGATTTATTCCTTCAAAATATAAAATAAAGGTGATAAATACAGGGCACATTCTGTAAAAACTGTGTTTCATTACACATATTGTTCCAACCAATGAAGCTTCTCTCCCTGGAACTCACCAGAAAGGACTTTTTGAAGTAAAAGGTACTACTTCCTTAACTTTTCCTAAAGACAGACAATAAGTATCAAATATATTGACATTCAGCAGCTAATAATCCATTTTGAGGTGTAATCAATAGCAAGAAATAGAAATAACCAAATAACAATATGCTGACTGCCTGTACTGGGTTGGCTCAAGATCATGCATATTATTGGTGAAAAATCAAAGCAAAAGATAAATGAGCATTTCTTTACTGTCAAGTTTACATAAAATCAAGTAAAATCATCTTCTCTGAAAAGGGAGAGGGAGCATGTCAGTTTGGGAGCTACTATAGGAAAAGAGAAACTTAATTAGCACAAACAGGCTCTTTGCTGAGGTTAAACAGGAATCTAAAGAGATCCCTAAAGCTACCACATTATGTAACAGGGCTAGCTGGAGTAAGATATTCACTTTTCCTTCTGCAGTTCATGGAAAAATGGAGGCATATGCCAACCCTAGCCCCTCAGGGAAGAAGATGGTACAGAAAACTGAGTGTATTTTTTCTGTGATAGGTTAAGTTAGATTTTTTTTTTTAATATGACTTGCTATTGTGGATTATCTTTTGCAACTTAGCAGTCCAGTAGTAATAAGGCGATTAGCGCTAATCTCTAGTAGGCAAAACTAGGTGTCACAATTATTGAGGTTTTTTTATGGTAATCATTTTTATGATAATCATTCCAGTGAAACTCACATTTTAATTTAATTGTTACAGGAAGACACACAGAAAAACAAGTTTCTGTTTAGATGCCACCCTCCTTGTTTTACTGCTCTAAAATTAAAACACTTTGAATTTGTCACAGATAGAGTAAATCAAAACAAACCAAGAAGAACAAAAGAGTTTAAAAAATGTGGCTTTTTTTTTTTTTTTTTTTACCCAGTATGTCCAAGACAACATAGGAATTCAGTATGTGATTCTTTCCCTTCTAGCATGTTGAAAACCACAGAAACAAGATCAATCCCTAAATACAGAGGGACTATTAGCATTGGAAGCATCTTCAGAAAATATGGGCATTTCAGATTCAGTCTTCATCAAAGGTGGTTGGAAATTACTGTAGCTCCAGAGAGCTACAGAGACTCTAAGTCCAACCTTCAAATTTTTTGTGTTTGGTAAATGCATGTTACAAGGTCTGGCTACCACCACTGCTAATGAGACATTACAAAAACCAGAGAAGAGCAATTCCAAGCATAATCAGAGGAAAAAACTAAGTCTGAATGGTTGTGAACCTGGAGGCTGGTGATTACCTTCTCCCTAAATAACCAATGTTGTCTTGGTGACCAACATCATTCCTTCCAGCTAAATTACAGATGCTTTATGCAACTGAGGAGTCAAGCCCTGTGTCACAAATGATTTCTCTATAAGATATTTCCATTTACCTTTAATGCTATTTCATTGTTCTGAAGAAAATCCAAGTGGTTTGCATTCTATTGCATAACTGTTTTAGTGAAATGGTTGCACATGTGTTTTAAGGATATAAACTGATAAAGACAAAATTATTATACGGTGAAACAATTTAAAATTTATTTTAGCCTCTTATAACAGAATACAGAAGACAATGATTAAATGAACTTTTTGTTTTGAGAATTACACAACATTCACAATCAGTAAGGTTATTAATTTTCCATTACTTTGAAATTTTAACTATACAGCCTGAACGGGCCTTAATTTTAAGAAGAACTTCACTGACTAACACAGTCATTTATTGCTCATTATAAGAGTCAAAGGAGTTGGTATAAACTGCAACAATACGGAATTTTTCTAACTTTAATTATGAAAGTAGTAATGATCAATTCCCCTTTACAATTGAGATAACACTTGAAATATTTTTATTCAGTAAAGCTATTACAATGTACTCTTAAAAGCGTTCCATCCTTAAATATTGATTAATCCATGTATTGAAACAGACAAAAAATTTTTTCCTGACAGAAAAATTATTGTGAAAGTCTCCAACAGAGCTAGCCACAGTAAACTATGTTTTTATATACTCTGATTTACCTCCAGAGTTTGATAATCTGGTATATCACATAATTACACTTTATAAAAAGCAATTTGTAGTTGTTGTCTGTGTAGGAAATGTCTCTTTCCTCTCATTTAGCAGTTCTTGTGTGATTTTGTGTCCTTGAAAACAAGTTTGAGCTATGCAAAATTATGTGGAAGGTTCCAGAAACTTGAAAGTAGTTTGAATAATAACAAAAAAGGCTATAATTAGCATGCCTTCCTCAACTGTGAAATTTCTTCTAAAAGCCGATGAGAAGATTATTATCCATTGGTTGATCTTCAAAAATTAATCCAATTTGGTGGGTGGTTTTTTTTTTTTTTTATTCTGTTGGCTCTAATATTTTTAAACATCAAAGCAGTGAAAAAATACACAGAGCCAGATTATGTCATCCTTACTCACTCTGAATCCCATCAGCTGCATGCAATCCCAGAATTCAATTAAGCTACCTGTGAAGTGAGATACTTCTCAGCATGAGAAAACACTGAAGCCCTACATGATGATCAAGCAAGGTCACTTTTGTTTCCATCTTCAGTCACTATCCAGAGAAGCTATTCAAACATTCCTCCTCCACAGCCTTGAATAAGTCTACAGGATAAGTTGCTCTCTCTTTAATTTTATTTTTTTAAACAAAACATAATAATACTGCCACTTAGCAAAATTAAAAAAAAATAGAAAAGGACTCATTTCTGCAAATCACAGGTTTTTCTTCAAAAGAAAAAGAAAAAAAATTACCCTGCTTCTTGCTGATCCACCCCATAGTGCTCCAGCTCTGTGCCTGGAAGTGGCTGCACAGGAGGGGGTGGGAGGGGAACACTGGCCCAGGTTGAACCATTATTTTTCTGGGGCTTGGCAGTATTTTTGTTTTTCTTCTTTTTCCCTCCTTTGCCACCTGCAAATCCAAAGAAGAAAAATAATATGTTAGAGCTGTAATGTGGGAAAAAAGGCCAGCTATTTACATTTCTCTGACAGAATTCTGATTCCAGAGCACATGCCCAAAAAAGAAGATGTATTTATATCTCAGCAGAATTAGCATCAAAGTGCTAATGCTGTCACAAGGTTATAAGTAATAAAAGAATGAAATGGGGAATATTCTGAATATTTACTGAAAAACACTTCTTTTTAAACCTCTGTACATTTGCACCATGATAGTGAAGAAACAAGGAAAGACAGGTTTTCCTGTATAAGAAATATATTTCCTGTTTTATTCATGTGCACTTTATAACTTCTTAAATTCACTCTTAGATAAAATTATAATAAAACATAGCAAATTATTTCAACTGTCAGAATCCACTGTGATTACAACACAGTTTTGCACAATTACTTTCTGTGGAAAACACGGAGCTTAAAAAATGGTCATTGGAGTCAAGAACTTTCAAGACAAGAGTAAATTGTCAAAACAAAAGAAACAGGGTTTTGTTTATAGGAATTTCTTAATTTCTGTTTTTTTTTTAAAGAGTGGGAAGTCATGTGCAATGTTTTAGGACTGACTGTTTCAGAGGATTCAAACATCTTGTGCCACTATGGAGAAGAGGTTCTATTTCTGATATACAGCTCTAATGGATGAGGTAGAAATGCAGTGAGCAATGCATTTTGGTTAAACCCTCTGCTCTTCTCTTATTGTCCTTGAATCCACTTCTCCCGCTGAGACACTTCCATTTGTGGGAGAGTGATCTTACAGAGAAAGCTCTCATCCCACTTGGTTTGCTTCTTTTATTTTTCCCTGACTTCTTTTTCTTGTCAGCAATTCATTAAGAGGAAGAACGGCTCAACATTTCGAATCCCTTGACTGCTTGGAGACTCATCTATTTTTTGGAGCTTTGTTGTGGGTTTCAAACTCTTTGTTGGGTGGAGGAATGGTTTGTCAGATGCCTTTTCAGTGGGGTACCCAGCTGCTCTCACTCATCCCTGGCCCGTTGCAGAAAGCACAGTCTATTCCATCTTACCCACTGATATTTCTTGATGATTTATAAAGATCAGCCAAAACATAAAAATGAATCAATGAATCAAGAAAGCCACAACTGACTGGTCAGGGAGGGTGGCACAATGTGCACTGGCAGGCACTGCCCTCTGTGCCATGGCTTTAATTTTAGGCACAGAGAAACACAGAAGGAGGTGCAATTCTAGCAATAGAGACAAGCCCCTATCATGGGACTTTTTGTCTTGGAGACGGTGGCTCACAGGCTTTCTTCTGTTACCTCTAAACATCAGCTGGATGAAAAAAAGGACAAACAGAGAGGGAAGAAAAAGGTGACTCCATGACTCAGAAGTAGCCAAGACTTCTCTTTCCACCTCCTGTTTTGCCTGTTAGAAACAGGTAACAAGCAATATTTCTAATTGACCTGGCTGGCAGCACATTGGAAGTGAGACTTTGCTTTCCACCACTCAATTCCAGACCAATGCTCTTCCTTCCTTATTTTGGAGTATTTATAGTAAGTTCAGCCAAGATCCTGTGATTCACTATGTGTGAACTGAGCTGATATTACTTCTATTAGGATGGAAAACAGGCTTTTTCTTCCGTTTGTAGCCTGGCAGAAAGGGCAGCTTTCTTGAAAAGGGAAAGAACATTTTGACTGGTGAAAAGAAACCCCAGTGACAGTGGAGATAGAGGAACAAATATATGAACTTTCTGGAGGGAAAGTGAAGCTTTCAAAGCACAGGCAAGGCAAAAAAAAGTGGAGTTAGAAATAGGGTCACTGAACAGTGCAAAGGAAGTAGGTTAATTTTAATTTGTGGGACATGGAGAAATTTTTTTAAAAGTCAGCAGGAGTAGGAGCCAACAAGAACTAAGGCAGGAGGGGCTGCTTTAGGAGAAAAGCACATGCATATGGTTTTATGTTGCAGGAGGATTTAAACTAGGAATACACAGAGAAGGGAAATGCAAAAAACAACTTCAGCTTAGAGATTAGTTGAAGTGAAGAGGAAGATTTTGGAAGTGTAGCATCTTGAGGATCTTTGGAGACTGGTAAAATGTAGGCTGACGTGCGGAGTGCTAATATGGGAGTCACTTGGATTTTGGGAGTTTCAAAGAGAGAAATTAGAGATAATGGAGATATTAGAAGGAGTGAAGCAGAGAGACAAGGGACTTGTTTAGATGAAGAAATGAAAGAAGAGAACTCCAAGGTCATTACTGGTAGGGGAAAGCAGCCTACACTGTGCAGTTGGGCAGGAGATTTCTCTTCTGTCCCCATGGACAGAGTTATTCGACTATCAGACTTGTGGGACAGACATTGAACACATAAACCCTGATTTGTGTTTGAAAACTGATTCACCAAAGCTTTGTTTCCCCATAGCAACAATGCCTGATGCTTCAATGTCTCCTCACACTGAAATTCAATTATATTGCTTAAATCTCTAGGTGAATTGGGTACTGGAGAAAGATTTTGCCAGTTAGGCTGCTGATCCTAGCACAGATATAATTGGTGCAAACTATAGCTACAAAATTTCCCTGCCTCATAAAGCAGTTGAAGTTTTAGCTGCTTTCCATTCCACAGTGGGATAGGAATTCTCATGATATTCATGTAAGAGAGACAGAAACTTAGTCAGAATAATAAGTAGTACTTAAAGTACTAACCAAGGAAGCGAGAGAACAAATCCCTGCTCACCCTGATGGGGACTACATAATCAAAGCTGGTCTCTGACTCCAGTGATGTTCTAATTATCAGACTATTTGAAGGTCTCCCCCAGTTTCTTGTGTATTACAGACATAATTATCCTCTATCAAAGGCATAATTAGGGGGCAAGGGAGAGCAAAATACTGACTCTGCAGTCCAATAATCTGGCACTCATCTGAGCACTGGGGCATCCAGTTTTGGGCTGCACTGGTCACAACAAGAGTGCCCTGGCCATATGACTGACTATAACCGAAAATTTCCTAGTGTCAAATTCCCTTCTGGCTGAGAAACACTCCACAGAATATGTTGCATTTGAAATATTTGATCGAAGTCCAGCCTTTGATCAAAGGGCATTTTCCAGTGACACTTCCTATTTTCTGAGAAAACTCTTAGGCAGCCTTAGCTGTCAACATATCTAAAGTGTGATACTGACTCTGATACCTGACATATATGTACCTCAGCACATCAATTTCTGAATTTTCATGCAGCCTGGGGAGCAAGCTGATTTCCTAAGCTACTTGTCAATGTACCTCACATACAAGGAACAAGAACCTTTCTTGAAGTATTTGAGCTTCCAGATACTTCCCTGACAATGCCATAAGTCTATTTTTTGGTCTCAGTCAAATCAGCTAATGTCCCCCCCTTGAGAACACAAGACTTGCAAACAGATCTGGCTATTTGAGTCATGGGCCAATGATAATAGGCTTCTTATCTCAAGATTCAGTTTGAATAGTCATTTAAATTGACATAAAGAAGCTATTTCTAGGTTTGGTCTATTACTGGGAGGGCTGCTCCAGCTTAAAGTGGAAATTCAAAAAGCTCTGGATATATTCTGAATATCAAAAAGTCTTTTCAGTGCTTTCATATTTCAGCTAGGTGAAATCACAGATTTTCATCTTGCACTGCTGCCTTTTCAGTTTTTGTCTTGACAGAAAAAAACCAAAAACAACGACTATACATAACATAAGCAACAAGGAAGCAAAATTAAAGAAATTAAGAAAAAAGGTGTGCTTAGATATAATACACAACCACATGTACTATGATCATTTTCATCTGATGAAAATGCATCATGTTTCCAATAAAACATGCAGCACACACATAAAATTTACATCCTGATTGTAGGCAAACTTGGCACAATTTGTTGAAAGCCCAGTCACCTTTCAGGGCCCTACAACTATTTCCAGCCTGCTTCACTGTGGAACAGCATTCAGAAACAGCTTGTGGGAGTGGGGTATCTGTTAACAACTTAACAAAAATAATAATCTCCTCATTAAGTTCAGTCTGGGGAGACCTATAAACTGAGGATGGATGCAGAAATACATTTGCTCCATAGATTATGTCAGGGAAATAATGTGATAAAGGCGAGGCTGGCAGCTGCACTGACAAGTGCCACATGAAAGGACTCTCCAGTTATCCCCAAGTAGGTTCTGCAAAAGGCTTTTTTGTTTCAGTAGAGTCCTGTGTGGCATTGTTTCCTGATGGGCAGGAACTCTCATGGCTATCCTCAACTGGTGCCTGGGAGGTCTTCTGCCTCCCTGGCGAGCCGCTCGCCAACACCCCTCCGTCCCTCGCTCCCCTGCGCACGGCGCCGGAACCAACCTGAGAGGCTGCCACTCCTTTCGGAGCTGTTGTGGGAGCTGGTGGTGCTGAAATCCTGTGACTGGTTGTGTGGCAATCTATTAGCCAGTCCCTCAGCCACCCGGTAGTCAGGGATGTAAAGCAAGGCTAAGGGTTAAACGGCAGAGGTCACAGTGGCATCGTGGGATTAGTCGACAGCACAAGCACATGCGACACATGCAGTTAGCAAGTCAGGGGCAGATGGGGTGGTTATTTTTAAAGGTACACCTACCCTAGCCTAATGGAAGACAAATGGCATGATGACTAGCACAGGACAAAGAGCATTAAAAGCACAGTGCAATGCATTTCAGGTGAGGTTCAGCACCCATGCAAGGTGTGCAGGCATTAGTTCAGGTCAACACAAACAGTGTCTCACAGAGCTAAAAAGAATTTTCTAACTCATGCACAGATAATACAGTACACAAAGCCAAGGGCTCTGGAAAATAAGAGCTGTAATTACCATTGTTGCCTTTGCCTTGGTCTGGGAGAGAGTAACCAAATCCCATGAGGTCATTTTTTTGCTGAATTGAGCTTTTCCACTGTGGATCTGGTAAATCAACAGCCAGCTCGTGGATGCTGTTGGAATGCAGGATCTGGGTGGTGGCATATGGCGTAGCCTGCGTTATTTGGCTGGAGCTGTTGTAACTGGTTTTGGTGGTGAAGTCGATGCTGCTGTAAATGGCTCCATCAGAAAGCATGGTAGCAGTTTTATCTCCTTGCCCTGGCACTGGTGGCAGCACATCTGTGGAACGAAACAAATCACTGATGCACGGGAAGCCTGAAAGTACCAAGGTTTAAGCTGAGAAATAAACGTGTTGTTTTGCACGTTTGCATTTCAGCTGAGACAGGTCCATGAGCCAACGAAGGGAAGATGATGTACAACCATCGCCAAGCTATCACCAGCTGTGACAGGACTACCACTTGCCCTTCACGTCTCACTGCCTAAAACCATCTTTTTTTTTTTTTTTCTTCCTCATACCTTCAACTGTGAAAGTGAAATTTGGAATATTTCTCTACTGAAGAATGTTTTCAACTGTTCACTCTATGTCAGAACCAATGAAACTGTCTGGGCTTCAGGGAAATGATGAAAGGAGAGAATTTACAAATCACAGAGGGAACTTGCCCAGAAAATATGTAGAAAAACTCTCAATGGAGAACAACTTGCTCAAAATCTCCAGTACATTTACCTGAAAACCATAACAGCTTATTTAACTAAATATCTGCTGAGTTTTCTCAATATTTTGAATCCTATCCCACACTGCAATTTGTATCTTTAATCAGTTAGATTGGCAGTCTCTCTCCTTACTAAACACTGAAGTGACCTTTGCTGGTGGAATACTAGATCTAGAAACTGAGACTAGTGAAGTGTGAAGAATCTAATGATGACTGACATGATGTCCCAAGGAGAACCACAGCTTAGTAGATAACCCTCCTTCCTGCTCTCTCAGAAGTCAATATCTCAAATGGTACTATTTTTACAATTTATTTAGACTCTGAAAAGTTGAATCAATTCCAGAATGTACTTTAAAAAAAATCCTTCATTTATATGCCATTTTCTTTCTACAGCCAGATGGCAGATACAGGTTCCAACTGTTAGATCATTCTTGAGATAGTGCATATTCCTATAGTGAGGATGTTCAGATCCTACTCTAGGGATAACAGACATTTTTATGTACGTTAAGCCCCAGAAAGAAAAGATGATTCTTGCACCTAGTCAAGGGTTTAAGCTCAGTTCCAAACTCAGATGTGGGTTTTGTGCAACCTCAGGGAATGAATTTGTTTTCTCACTGTATCAAAGACTTAACCAGCAATGAGATGAGATTCCATGGTCTCCTCACACTGATTTAGTATTTTTTGTTTGCTTTAGTTGTTGTTTTTGGGTTTTTTTTTGGCAGAGTTGTATTTTTTTTTCCTGGGATGAACATTTAGATCACAGAACTATTTTCTTTTGCATTCAGGTGTACTACAGTGAACATTTTAACATGGACCCTGATAACATCTTCCGTCTCAGGGCAGCAACATAATATTAACAATAAATATGGCAATAGCAAATGCCTAGCAGAGACTGCAGAAAGAGAGGTTAAATTTGGGTCTGTCAGCATGATCTGATTTTGTATATAGCAGGGAAATGGGCACAATCAAGTATTTGAAAGATGTTACTTGTATCAACTTATATCTACAGATAAATTGCAAGTGCAAAAAAATTACAATTAATGTAAACTATAGCCCATATTTCAAAATCATGTTGGTACTATCTGCACCTGTTCAATGTGCTTTCCAGGGGCAGTACCCAAACAAAGATCCATCTAAATACAGCATGAGATGTGAGAGACAAGTGCAGTCCTATCTTTCTTGCATTTCATCCAAAATATGAATATTTCTCCTTTCTACAATCGGTTCCATCAAAGTATAATAGCTTGAAGTTTAGTAAATAAATTCTGTTGTTGATGTATACAGTGAAGTAAATCCAGCTCAACCTGTCTGTGTTGGATTTGATGACTCAAGGAAGCAAAAACTAGCAAAATGCTCGTCACTGAAGTACTCAGACATACATCTGTCTTTTAGTGCATATTTCTGGCAACTGAAGAGGTAACATCTCTATACAGTCATTTTAAAGTGGAAAACTATTCATGTGTACACACTTGAAAGGGAAGTTGCATAGCTGCCCGCCAGCCAAGGACTTTCAGTCATTCTTACTGATAAGCTGAGGTTCTCCAGACATTCTGGGAATTTTCAGTACAAGCACGGATTACTTTTTTGACCTCAGTGAGATGTATACATTTAAGCACTCAAAGAGATGTTAAGTAGAGATTTTACAAAGTGCCATAGCCACCGAGTAAAAGTCAAGTGTGATTTTCCCTGGAAGCTGTCATAGCAAAAACACCACACTGTACATTTCAGACCCAAGATGAAGATGCACTTCCCACTGGAAACTTTCCCCAGAACTCTCCAAAATCCAACTTCTGTTTGTAACTCTTGAGATAAATGAAATAGTGCTGAAATACTTGTGCAGGGAAGCTCTTTCTTGCTGCCTTGGAGATGCAATACCATTTTGTGGCCTTACATGACTCCAAGCCTCACCTGTTCTTCCCACTCACAGCCTTGCTCTCAAATGCTTATCTAGGACAGTGGATCTCACTCTTAAGGGAAATTTTAGCTCTGCCTGCCTCAGCTTCTGAGTTTCCAGGGTGAGTTATGTCACCCTATCGTTTTTAAAATTCTTACAGAACTTTTATGCTATTACAGACATTTTAACCAGTAAAAGAGGCCCAAGCTCCATCTGTATAGTTAATATTCCATCTCTACATGTTAAAATACTTCCAATCCATCTTTAGTGCAGCAACATCTAATCTCAGCTTCTGAAACAGATAGGGATAAGTGATCCCAAACCACCCAGAATAAAAGTTTCAGCCCAACTGTAAAGATTATGGGTGGAATTAAGCTGCCGAATTTTAAAATGTAACTGTTGTATCTCATGAATGAATTTGAGGCCAAAAATTTAAAAAATAATGCTTCCAAATTCAGTTGTATAAAGCCAAATGCTAAAAGAAAATGGTAATTTTTCTGTATGACGTGAGCTTAAGAAAAGATGGAAAAGTACTGAAGGGTTTTATTTTCAAGATATTCACAACAAAGAAGCTGGCAGAAATTCAGTTGCCTTGTAAATATTATCAAAAGGTTTGCTTGCTCTTAAATATTTTTGACAAGAACTTTATAACATTTTTATACAGAATATAAATCTAGTGTGTTTTGTTGTAATTTTAAGTCACAGTAGTCAAACCACAGGCAAGAGGCTTTTCATAGGAATGTATAACCAGTATGACGGATGGTCTTCAGAAGCAGATTCTGACCAGCATGCAGAATTAGCTGTGTTATCACAGAAACCAAGGAAGTAACAGAGAGATGTGAATATTACTATGACTTCTAAAAATTCCAATCCTACATCTTAAAATTCCCATTTGAGTTAAATGTTTGAAATGAAATAACCCCTCTAAAGATGCCTTCCTCATTGTAGGCAATACATCTTGACCTCAGTCCCCCAAAGCTGCTCTCTCAAGTTGAAATGGAAACAAACCCCTAAAAGATCTAAACAGTTCCCTTTTATGTATCCTTTCCTGCAATGAAAAAGAAAGTTGCTTAACACCCTTGAGGTTTTCTTCACAGATTATTGTTGAGACTGAGAGCAGGATCCTGAGAGCAGGAAGAGGATGGGTAAGGTGACAGCAGCAAAGTTCTGGTGTCCTTCTGCTGAAGGAACATCCTTCCTGCATGTCCAGAGTTCTCCTCTGCTCTTATGGACATCCTGCATCCCTGGCTATACTGCCCTGCATGGCACACTGCTCATCTCCACAAAAAAGGGAATGAGATTGAGACACAAATACATTTCTCTTGACATCATAAGTAGACCCTGTGTCACCACTGCGGGGCAAATTACAAAGCAGACCTACATTTTTAAAAAGTAAAAAGAGATAAAGAAAAAGAAACATTTCAAAGTCAATTTTCAATCAAATCTAGAAAGAAAGAAATAGAAATAACTATAATGATAAAAATATTATACCATATTTACCATAGATGTTAATGAATGGAAGCCTATTTTATAATACCACGTGACTTAATAAAAGCAAACCTACCTCCACGACCAAAATTCCCAAGATCATTGGGTCCACTAGTGCTGTTATTTACTGGCAGACTTGTGGCAGGCCAAGAGTCTGCAAGCCAAGGATAACTGGGGTCACTGGCATTCAACAGACCTGGTCGACTGAAGCAGAATAAGAAAAAGAGATATACACACAAATATATATATATGTATATATAAAATTACAATACCTGTGAGATAAGTAGTGATGGAAGAGGGCATATTACTGTTCTTCTAACACCACAGGTAACTAACAGTTTAGGAGACTTTAATTTATTTCAAATTACAACTGTATAGCCTTTGATGATTTAAAGACCTTGAGCAGTTAATTAAGGTTATATACAAATCAACTTTGTCAGTAGAAGAGGGACTAGGCATCCGTCGTGACTCTGCCAGAATCCAAATGAACTCCGTTGTCTGTGTGAAACACGAGTTAGGCAGCACCATCATGGGATCCTACGCCAGGGCTGAATGATAAATTACCACCTCAAGGGAGCCATCACTCAAACTGATTGCTCCATATCAGCCATTTCCAGGACTTTGGGCTACTATTTCTTCCTTCCCTTGCATCCCAAATGCATGCCTGTCATCTACAGGCTGGTAACTCTTTCTTCGAGCACTCTTGGATGGTTCAGAGGCAAGCAGGTTTGAGGAAGGATTAATGGGAAGTCCACAGCTATCTCTGTGGGACACTACTGCATGGCTTTTATATCCCTGTAATTCTCACTTTGAGAACAGTGTTAAACAGGGAGCACGGTGAAAGAGAAGGCACACTCGGGCCACGAGGCACCGTGCCTCTCTCACCCCAGGATAAATCAGAATTTAGCAAGGCAGGATTGTTTGTGTTTGTGTTCAGCCAGGGAAACAAATAATTTGCTGCAGACATCCTTTTCTCCCACATGAAAACAAAAAGCTGTCTGCAGTTCCGCATCTTCCTTGGGTTATTAAAGCACTCGTGAAGTTGGAGCAACATCTCCCATCACTGAGCATTCCAGACCCCTGCCTGGAGCAATCCCTAAGAGAAACATCGGTTTCTATGGAAACGGCAATAAGGCGGCCCAGCCGCATTCTTGCCACATCTACTGGCTCTCATTAGGCCTAATCTCTTTTTGCTAAAATATTGATTAAACAGGAGATTGGAAGTTATTACCAGGGCCTAATTACAATCTCCATATTGGCAAAGGGAAAATAGATGAGGATATATGGGCCCGTTATCAGCTTTTATCAATTCAATTGAGTAGCCAAAGTTGTGGAATCCAGTCCTATCAATCTACAGCCTATTCATCATCCATGAATCATTTATTTTGTGATCGATTAAGTGTAATTGTTCACTCACAGCAATTTAGGGGGAGCCAATAAGGAGTCTTAAACAACAGCAACTTCATTTGCTAATGTCTAATTAATGCAATAAACATCCCAGTAACAAATGAACACATTCTTTTTGATATTTTCTACTAATTTCTTCCAGGACATCTGGGAGATATGAAACATCTGGGCTTGCTTCTTCCAAAGTGCACAACAGATAGGTCATTAAACCTTGTGGTAAGCTACTTAACTCCTCCTAGCGCTATCAGTCTTCCCAATGATGGGCTATGACCCAAGTGCATCACCTATAGCATTTTTCAGATCCCTTACTTTAAAAATAAACACAGTGGAAGGACCTTTATACAAAGAAACATACCTTCCATTGCTCATTAGTCCTCCATCTCCTCTTTGGAAGGTGACTGTGTTTTGGTTGAAAAAAACAAAACAAACATACACACACACGCACACACATATAAGACAGGGAAAAATCAATTAGTAATAATTAAAAGTAACAATTCAAACTTCTCAGTGTCCAAGGCTGGAGGTCTCTTTGCATCATCCCATATTAAAGTACAGAAATGACAGGAAGAGGCTCAGGCACACTGGGGCTCCAGCTCATTTAGGATTTCGCTGCACATTACTGATTGACAGCACATTACTGATTGCTCTGTACCTTGCAAGGCAAAGCAGCCACCTGGGCAAAAGGCCTGAATTCACCACAGGCCCCTTCATATGACTTTGCATTGCGAGTCTGAGCCATGCGATCAAATTGTTTTCTTGGCGTGCTTCTGCCTCAGTACATAATGACATTGCACCAGTGAGTTAGTAACATCATGTCGTAATGCAGTAATATAATGTCACCACACAAATATGTCATTTCCCAGGACAAACACAAAGAGGTGGCAGCTCTATTACAGCTGAAGGGGTGGAAAAAAGCATCCAGCTGCACCTTTTCCATTAGAAGTACAGTTTAAGAACTAGCCCACTCATAAATGCAAACATGACAGTGTCACCAGGAAGAAAAAGTGTTTCCAGTCTTCCATCCATGGGGGATGCCAAGGACATAATCAGAGGGAGACAATTGTTTTTATCTCTCCATTCACGGGTGTTTGACAAAAACCAGCCTCTCCCTTATCTAGCTATTAACAGGATTACATTTCAGGGCAATATATGTAAACCCACATTACTGGCGAGATGCTAATTGACAACATTTGATGATCTTTTCTGAAACACTGAAAAAATATTTTGAATCAAGGCCAACAGACTACTCTGGTTCTCAGTGGCAATATCCCATTATTTATTGTCAGGCATAGATAAGGCAGACTATTAAATTATACCAATGTCCTGGACACCTGCAGCCTTAAAGGGCTCTGACTGGATGAGGGTTTGAATTTCAGTGAGGAATGGAAATGTTTGTGACCAGCTCAATTTAAAATACATGTTCATTTGGAAATACTATTTGCCTTTGGAAGACAGGTGGTCCCATCAGTAAATTATAGCTCCCAGAGTATCTGCAAGATTTTCCAGGTATTAGTCCAAACTACACTAACTCAGGATTAGGCTTTCTATTATACACTATTCTAATCAGACAAAATTACTACAGCCAATAGAAATTCCCTGTTCATTAAAAAAATAAGCAATGACATAAAGCCACTGGGAAAACTCTTCTGATACCTTATAGAATTCTTGTTACATTATTAACTCCTAGGGTAATTTCACAGTGTACATTCAGCAAAGAGGAGAAAACTGGCCCCTCTGGAAGCTCTGCTGGAAGAATAGTAGGGTGATTAATTACCCTTCACTGCACAGCAGACTAATACCAATATCAGAAAATCACTGCAGTCATATGTCACATCAAAATGGTTAATAGCTGAATTTTGAAAGGGTGTAATCAAACCAATTAATGAAAAGAAAATCAAAATGCAAGTATGGAAAGTACTAAATAAAGGTCTGCTTTGAAAAACAAGACATGGTAAAACATTGTGGGTAATTAATTTTAGAGGCACTGCTACTTTCATTCACGTGGTATCTAACAGGCTGTCAAATGACTTCCACTCATTGCTTAGAAGTGAATAATCTGAAGTGCTGTGCATATCATATGTGATTATGCAAAGATGTGGGTACTGCCTGGCTTTGTTTCCAAGTATCTTGGTCAATGGTGTATTAGATGCTGTTTCCTTTCTCCTCCTCTCCTCCAAATTTAATACCTGATTTCTCCAACTTTCTTCATTTGTCAGTGACAAGAAATAAGGAAAATGAGAAACAGAGGTTCGTTTGACAACGACTTTTATAAATAAAGTTTACAGATCTAAGGGAATTGCAGTAAAACATATTTTCTGAAAACTGCTTGGATTAATGCTCTTGTTTAGACTGTCATCTACCAGAACTTATTTTGAGGTAATTTTGTTGCCACTCATATAGCATGTACAGGTGTGTGAGCTTTTAAATCTGCATGTCATATGAAGAAAAAAAAAGAACCAAACAATATTTGTGGTCTACAAAATATTTATATCCCTCCGTACCTTTATAAACCAAAGCTAAAACTGAGAAGCTAGCAGAGATTTCATCGATGTTTGCCTGACATATTTAATTTTCTGTGTAGGCAGGTATGCAAAAACTCCTAGGCATGCCATGAGAACTCCACCAAGAAGACATGACATAGAAACCTCTTTTCTAGAGCCAGAATTGCTGCAGGTTGGCTGTGGCATAGATTGTTGAGAAAAAAAAAAAAAAAAAGGATCACAGAATTTGCTCCTTTTTCTTCGGTGTGTCCTGGAGGTAGGAACTGTTTCCTGTTTTGTTTGGGTTTTTTTATTTCCTGTCTTAAATCATGTTACACCCTTCCAATATATGCAACATCTTTAGAAGAAAGGTTCAGCTTGCAGTGACATTGTTTTTCCTAGGGAAGACTGAGCTTTATTTGAGAAAATAAACCAGAAAGCATTTTATTTATTTAATGTGCTTGGTGTAAAATGCTTTGGAATATCAACTAAGCTTGCCAAAATTCTTTTTGAAGCGTGGCCATGCCACTGGGATGCTACAAAAACCCCCCATATTCCTGATGCCATCTGTAAGTGGGCTACCTGAGGCTGGATAGAGAAGGTGCCTTTCTTTTAGCATTAATGTTGTGAAAGGCCAGACAGCTAACAAGAGAAGATATGGTCAGGCTGCCAAAAAAAGCACTATGTTTATCATTCCTGCCATACATTTTGTCAGCATTTTTTCCTGCAGTTTGATTTCTGCAATTACAAAACAAGTCTAAACGCCTGAATAGGAGCATACTTAATGCAATGCAGGCTTGTAGATGTCACTGTAAAAATAAAACACACAGACAGCTGGCTTTATTCATCCTGTCTCCACTTCAAAAAGCAGCAGAGCAATTTCAAGGGGCAATGTAAGAGGAGGGAGGGAAGGATGTCCCTATCACTGACCCACCTATCTTCCTTGCTTTTTATCACCAAGGAAGCAAAAAAGCTCTTTCAGCAGTCTTTGCATCTGATACATGTTCTTAGAAAGTCTGAAGTCCTGCAGGGATGAGATTGGTTTTCAAAAGAAGATGAAAAAAATAACCTCTGCATAGAGAGATTTTGAAGGAATCCCCACCAGCCTATACTTCAAGGACTGCAAAAATGCAGAAATATAATCCAAAGTGCATTTTAAATGCATAAATATTTCAGGAAAATATATTGTATATATTTGTATGAAAACCAGCATATGTTAAGGAGATTTTCACATGCTTTTTATTAAATGTATAAGGAGGTACCGAAACCATTTACTAATATTATCTGACAAGGTTAAACTTAATCTTCATGCCTGCTAGAACTGGAAAAATATGAATGTATAGTAAGTTGACATTCTGAGGCAAGGAAGCTTTAGAAAGCTTTAGAAAGCTTTCTGTATGCCTATCTCTAGTAGGCCACATTTTCCTACTGCAAATGAAAACTTTAATGTTGCCAGCCAAGTCTCATTCCTTTTACTGATAAGCTGTTCCTCAAATATGAATGTAGATTAATCCTCTTTTAATAAGCATTAACTCAGAACAGATAATCAGCACATAAAAATTCCATCAAATCTTCTGTCTACCTTTGGATGATTCTGTCACATAGTTTATCCTCATTTAACAGTTTCAGGAGCTGCACATAAAATGTGTAACGTTCCATGATTTTCTATCTATTTTTAATTCATTTTCTGTTTACTGGGTTTCATAAAATCTTTAATCCCAAGGAGCACCAGTCACTAAATAAGCTTACCTATTCATAAGTTAAAATACATATGTACATTTTTTGCCTGACTGATGGCCTAGACACTTGAAAACACCAGAATACTCAGGTGAGTGGGTACTGGCACAACAAGTTTGAGGGCACAGGAAAGATAAGCATTAAAAAAAACAAACAAACAAAAACCCCAAACAAACAAACACCCCCAAAATATATCCCACTAAAACAGTGCAGCAGTACTTTACCTTTCACACAACTTTACAAAAGTGAGACCGATCCATTCTTTATATTATAGAAGAAATGGTTGAAAAGGGATGACAGTTGTGCTTAGTGTCCTTGTGCCAGATTTGGTTTTGCTGAGAGTATGCCATGGTCACAAAAATGCATAGTCCTTGCACAGCTGCAGATGGTGACATTACTACTTACCAACAGCAATCTAACAAACCTATTAGCTAAATTTTATGGTTTGTAGCAGTGATATTACTGAGAACCAAGGCCTGGTGAGTCATGGTGGAAAGGGAAGTGGAAGAACAGTGACATACAGAATAGCGGCTCAGCAAACACTGAAGTCAGTTCAACTGAAAATAATTAAAAAGATTTAGCTGTGATTATCAATGCCACTTAATTTGTGACCATCTGAGCCATTGATCATTTTGTGCTTACAAAAATGTTCACAAAGACAGAAAGCTAAAGGTATTTAACTCAATCAGTTATTCTACCCTGACACAAATCATTATAAACTGCCTGACATTTGCTGTTTGCTCTTCTCCCACACATGTTACAGTGGTATAGACTCAAAGCAGAAATGTTACATCTCAGGAGCCTAATAACAGAATACAAATAACAAGTGGTCCTAGAGAATGACCCATAATCTGCAAATGACCCAAAAGAAAATTTTTAGCAAGTAATTAAAAAACTGCATGGATTTGGACTTTTAAACAACTGTTTTTAGTGTTCTATGTTCTACACACAGGCAAATACAGATGAAGAAAAATAAAACAAAAAAAATTCACATCAGAAATAACAGGGGATTTTTTTCTGAGTGTAAAATAAACGAAGTATATAATTGTTACACTAATAGATTCAATTCTCTACCTACTAGATTCAATTCCCTACCACACAGGTAAATCTGTATGTTCTGCAACTCTCTGAAGGAAGAATTTAAAGCAGATGTCAGAACAAAAAGTGTGTACCTTCTAAAATCTGAGTATATTAGGATAAATTCATCTTCAGTAAAAATTCATTGACAGCTGTCTCTGAGGAGATTCTGAAAGCTACATACCACTGTCTAAATAATTGTATCTAAACCCAAACTGTTTATGAACCATAAACCTTTGAAGGGAACAACATACAATTGTGCGTGTCAAACCTCCACAAGCATAGGTATGTCTTTCTAAACAACATTATCACGGGCAAATTCAAATATTAGAGAATTAAAAAAGTTTGTTATGAAACTCTGGGTCTAAAGATAGGAAGCATGCACTGTGTTTTGTCATAAGGAAAGTGCTTTTTTAAATTAAAAAAAAAAAAAATTGGACTTGGTTATTGGAGGACTTAGGCCCTCAATTCCCCCAGAAGTTAGTGCAAGCCAGGACATAGAATAGTTCCAAAAAGTCCACAAGATGTCAAAATTGCTTTTAAAAAAGAACATTTTTGGCAGTACTTCTGATATATTCCAGTTGCCCAGCACATGTGGATCAACAGCATGAAATCATGCTCAGACCCTGTGGCTCCAGCACAGCCCTGTGTCATGCCAATGCATGCCACAAACACAACGGTAAAAATGCACCACAGCTCAAGACAGCTGACAGAGGCATAGTCATAGGAACCAAATGCAAAGATGTATTATTTAGTTTCGGAAAAAACCCTATGCTGTGTCTCAAAGAAAAGGCAGTAAAGTGTTTAGGGCGGGATGTGTTGTGCCATAGCTTACAGTAACCTGACCAAACCTGCCTGGAAGCCAGGGGAGCAGTCCTGAGCTCCCAGAGCTTTTCCACAAGGACGTTTCTCCCTCAGAATGTCATGGGCTCCCAGGGCACACACCGCTTTGGTCATCTGCTCTTTCCTGCTAAGCTGAACACAAACTGTGGCTGAAGACAAGCAAGAGTGAGAAAGCAGTGACTGAGCATGAGGAGACAGCTCTGGTAAAGGCAACTGAGGGGCCAAACTACACCCAAAAAACTTGACAGGCTTCTGCTGGAAAACACCAAGATTTATCAGCCTTTAACACTGTAATGCTGAGGTACAATTATTTTTGAATTTCTAAACCTCAAGATTAGGTACAAGAGCAGAAACAAATTGTTTGTATCAATTATTATTATTAATTGTATATTCTATTTTTCCTGACAATTCATATGTTGAATGAAGTGTTTGCAATCTGCTGTTTCAGCCACTCTCCATCTATCCTTCACATATCTTTAATCATGCTTATAATAACAGTCTACCGTATGCTACCTTTTTAAAGATAAGAAAAATAGGATACCAGCTCTGAGCTGGGTAGTAAGAAAAAAACCCAAATATTTCAATTTCAAAAACGTTGTAAAGTCAGTGAATGCACCAGTTAGTGACTAGATTGCTTGAAGGTCTGAACACCTCACAGTAAGGCAAACATATTTAATTGAGAGCTGAAATAGAAGAAAGTTTCATTTCTCCACTTGGATCTGCTAAACTGTTTGAGCTTTAAAATCAAAATTCAGTTATATATGAATAATGATTGTTTATATTAAGTTAGTTCAAGTATCTGCTCCTGAAAATTACTTTCAAAACTGCATTTCAGAGAGTTAGGTGAGTTAAGTATGCAGATTTATAGTGACAGAGACATTGATGGCGGTAGATTTTACTTTTCCCTGGAATCCAGAGGAGAATGAAGGCTACATTTTTATCACAGATAGGCAGCCAGAGTGCTTGGTTTTAATTCTTCATATCTCACATGTTCATAAACACTTTGATAGGTAATGCTTGAAATGGTGTGTTGGTGAGGTAAGAGACAGACTAATGGACAGTACCTGCAGGGGTGAAGGTGAAGGACTGAACTGCAAAACAAGAAAGCAAACACATTGTGAGTTACACACCCTGACACAAAGCACTAACTGCAGGGCACGAGTTTCCTCTGGAAATCACTCAGTTGGGGTTGAATATTATGAGCAGGACATAACAGCTGAGCTTAAAGCACCAACCAGCCAGCAGCCAATGAGAAATGATGGTTGGAAAGATGAGCAGTGGATTTTGACAGTCACATTTGAAGACTCTCTGTGAGGACATGCTGTACTCCAAGCTGTAAACATTAGGATGAACTCTGAAGCATGATCTGTTATCCACTTTCCTTGCTGAAAGCATACACAATTTCATGATGCAATCGATGTTCACATCACACTTAGATGCAGCAAACGCCGTGAGAAGGAATGAGTTGCACGAGACATGCTGTTTATAATTATTTACAGCTATGCTCTTCAAGTTATAACAGACTGCTCTCAATTTTCCCTCACCCCAATAAGCCAACTCAAATACAGGACTAATAATCCTCCTTTTTAAGAAAAATCTAGTCTCAGCTTGTGTCCAAAGCTTTAGATAGGATTACTTCCTAAGAGAAATAACAGCACAGCTGTCTCTAGAATGAAAAAATCTTGGGATCTAGACTGATATTTCAGACATATTTCATGTCAGCACATGTATAAGTGTGTGAAATATATATTAATTTCTCAGTTAAAACCACCCCACCCCTCAGAGAGTAAAAGTTACTGCTACTAAATGAAAGAAAAAAAGCCACCTTGGGACAAAGGACAACCCATAAATGACAGAGATCATGTGGTGACACAAAATGAGGTTCCACAAAAACCAAAAGCCACTGGTCTCTCTTTCCTCTCTTTCCACTGCTTGTCTTCTTGTCCTTTCACTAATCCAATAAAAAATAAAAGCAGCAGGAATAGTGGAATAGTTTCCAGCTGGTTTAGTGAGCCCAGTCAGGACACTGAGGAGTCTGGCTATGGCTGAGCTGAACTGGGAACAATTTGGCTACAACTGATTGTGGGTTTTTGGAAAGTTGTTGCTCAGCCATTCAGGGAACCTGAGTCCTTGGTTTCTCATTTGATAACTTGTAAATAGAAGGGCACTAGTGTAACTGACATGTGATATAATGTCAACATTAAATATACTCTGTCTTTAACTGGGCAAATGTTTTCTCTTTTTAAGTGTTAATAAGAACTACAAGAGAGCCTACTGCAATATTTGAAGAATTGTGGTTTTTGAGTGTTAAGTTAGGCTTTGGAGTAACCCATTTTATGACAGTTCACCTGAATTCCCAAAAATTCTTAAGAATCCTGAAAATGGAATAATACACAAAACAGAGGTTGGGGAAAGATGAAAATATTTTCATTTGGCAAGAGTATTTAATTTTCCAAATGTAGTTTTCAAAAATTAATTTATAACTGGAACAAACATTAAATGTAAGAGAACATTCAAAGATGTTCTACCTCCAAGACAAAACTGTTTATGGCTTCTGCCTTAGGTAAATTTTGACCACACTTCTCTGTCTTATACATCACTCTTCCAGCTACAGCTATGAAGTCACTGATTAAGTACCTTCACTTATTTGCCATGCACATGGCTTCAGAGACATGGAAATGCACAGGAAGGAAGAAGGAGAAGACAAAAACTCTTTCCTTGTAAGAGTCTAATCTAACTCATTTGAATACACAAATGATGCTGCACTGCCAACACTGTGCCTTCTGAGCAAGGGGCAAGAGGAACAGCTAATCCTTTTTGTACTTTTTTAATGCTAGATGTGCTGGAGATGTAAAAATACTGCCTTATGATAATGATGAAATGCAGCACCGAGCGATGCATTTAAAGCTTCTCATACACCAGCAATTTCACAGCATACATTTAGAACAAGCATATAGAAGTCATCCAGGACGCTTTTCCTGTAAGTTCAATGTGGTTTTTAGGTAGGTTTAGTAGCCCCTGTTCTTTTTATGATAGCACCTGCTGAGATGGCAATAAAGTCACTGCTCTTACCAGCATAATTGCTGAGCCCCTTCCTCTTCTTTCTCCGCCAGTAAAGCCAGATGCTGAAACCCATGAGAATGACCCAACATGCACCACCAATGCCAGCTATGAAGGCAGGCTGCTTCACCACATCAGTGATTTGCTCAGTTATGCTGTTGTTATTTTCAGTGATGACAACTTCGTTACGACCTCCTGCACAAGAGAAATTTAACAGAATGAGGTTATTCTGGATTCTGCAACACACAGTGGAAGCAGTACAACAAATTAAAGGTTTCTAAAAAATAGTAATGTGTCTCAAAAGAATTACCCACCGCAGAAGAACTTTAGGAAGTAGCAATGGACACCACAATCTCAGTGTTTCTAGAGAAAATCCATAGCCATTTTGCAGATATATATATAGACAGACCCATACCACACTCCCAAGTAATCTAACAGATGCCAATCCAGAGCTTTTTTTTTAACAATACACATATTTGTTAGTTTGTTTTTCCATAATTGTAAACAGAATTCAATAATGAGAAAACGGATCACGGGAAACTAATAAAAAAAATAAATCAAGCAATCAATAAATAGCTTTTTCTGAATGAGTAATCCAGATACAAAATATGCTACATTAGAAGAAGTCCAAAAATTTTTACTCAAGTCATTTTTTTCCCTGAATGCTAGCTTCTAAATTTGAAATGAACAATAAAACAAATGCACTTTCCACTGGGGCAAAGATGAATTTTCCCGCAATTATTTCAAGGGGAAAGCAGTTCATACAAATTCTAAGTGTACCATCTTTGACACAAAGCAGAATATTACACAGTTAACTGTAAGCACTAAACAATCACAGCAACAGATGTTATTTTTTTCACCTAGAATATGCATACAAATTCTTAACATCAACCTGCAAGGAATAATTATTACTTGGAATACCAATTAAAGTGACATGCATCAAAAAATTACTATATAGGATCTTAAATTGTATATTACAGCAGAGAACTGCAAATTCCAATAGATGTTCCCATTGGTTTTTTGCCCCTCTTTCTCTAAAAGGGAACTTTTCTAAAAGAAAAAGCTTGGCATTTGGCTTGAAAACAAATGCTCATAAAAATCTGAATGGAAATCCAGGAAATGCTAAAGCATATAGTTCTAGGGCCAGCACTTTCAAATTGTCAAAAATAGTTAGTTTTAAATTTAGAAAATGCAGAACATATTTTTCTTAAAAAAACCCTGAATTTTTTTCTATGTATATTTTATATAAACTGCCCACATCTGCAGTTTTGAAATTCATGAAAGATTATCCATCATTTCCAGTAAAAGCATTTATATAGCTCAATCCTTGAAATGTTTATGCAATATTACCACATGCCTGTATGCACACTGAAGAGCTGCAGGAGTAGCTCCACTGAGATGAAGAAGATTCAAACAATATGATTCTCAATTATGAGAGTCTATCACACACATAAAGGTAGTTGAACAGTGCAGTAAAACACCAAAATGGTCACTAGGAGGAAATTATTAGAAGTATTGTATCATTACACCATGCTGTGAAAATGTACATATTCCTTTTCTATAATTCAGCAATGCTTAGATTTACTTCTTCCAACAGAGCAGCTCGCTGGCTCCAGCCTAAAGTCAGCACTCAGGGTCTCTGGCTGGAGCAGATCTGAGAAGTCTGACACTTCCAGCCCTATTTCCATGGACACCTCTTTGCAGGTGACCCAGAAGCTCACACAGCTGTGTTTTATAAAAGGGGATCCTTTGAGAAGGACCCTCTGGGACTGCCTCTGCCCAGCACTGCCCCTGCCAAGATGCAGCTTCAGGCCCTCAGTGGCACTCCCAGTCGAGCTGGGTTAATCAGGGAGAAATGCAGTGCCCTGCCTGCCACTGCTATCACACTGCTGATGACCCTGGTGAGTTTATTAGGTTTCCTCTCTTTCAGCACCACAGCAATATTTAGTACTGGTGATTGTCTGCTTTGGCAGACTGTGGAAGCTGTGCAAGAGCCTGGCTTGCTTTCAGTCTGCTGGGCAAGGAACAAAACAGGCTCCCAGCAAGCAGAATAGGTCCCACAGAAAGATGCTGCCAGATGTACAAAAAGTGCACCAGTACAGGGGTCATGCACCAGTCTATACTGGCCATGCTGGAAAACTTTACCAGCATCAGGCCCTGGGAGCTGCAGCCATCCTTTGTCACACTTGCATCTTTTGTCTTGCCACTGCCAAAGGCCCAATGGCTTCCAGGCCTGGTTCAGTGAGAATGAAACTGAGCGAGCAGCTGTGGCAAGGAGAGAAAGCAGGCAGCAGTGCTTTATCTGATTTTCCATGTTTTTTCCTGCCCATGGAACAAATCCATAGGAGCACCCCAGTGCTGAAAGAGGAAGGGCTGACACGTAAAACTAATAGAAAGGGGCTCTCCATGGCATGCTCTTCCAGACACAAAATCGATTTTCTTGTAGAAATCGGCATGGGAGTTGGAGTTGCTCTAATTACCATTAACTTGCAGTTAATTTCTGTGCCCTTTGGAGGAGAGGCCAAAGCAGTGGGACAGTGAGGAAACAGGTAGTCTTGGCACTGCTTCAGACACAGCCGTGCTACCAAGGAGAAGAGCTGGAATCAGGGAAGCGCTGGAGACACCAGCTTTGGGAATGGATGCTCCTGGATTCAAGAATGACTTCTTTTCCCTAAAGCCTCCAAAAACATCTGAGGATCCTGTCTTCTCTAAGACCAGAAAACAGTCTTTTGAAAAGGCGGGACATGAGAACAAACTGCAAAGTGCCTGGGAAGAGGCTTCAGAAGATTGTACGCTTTGCCTCTCTTCTAGGGGAAGATACAATCTGTCTCCAAATTACCTTCTAAAGTTTGCAGTCTGGCTGTTTGCTCTTACCCTTCTGCGCCTAGCAATTACAACTGCAAAAGTAATAATTCGTTTAAATGTCAACATAACATATGCTTTGTGAATTTGATGATGGAAGAATAATTGGAGACAGATGAATGTTACCCACTGACTTTTGATAAAATTAATATAATTGTTGGGGGTTGCGGAAACAAACAGCATTAGTCCCATACTTCTTTATATAATATTTAAGCAGAAGTAATAAATATATCATCCAAGGTACCAGTGTACTATTTCATATACTGCAGGTGGTTCTGTAACAATGCTGTCAGTTCAGCTAATTAGAACACAGACAAGGGAAGTGTGCGACCTGTAACGCTCCATTGTTCCTGAAGACAAAACCATAATGAAATATAATGTCTTCCTCCCATTGGAGAGTAATGAAGAACAAAACTAATTTGTTGGACCAAAAATTAATTAGACACATCAGATTCGATTGTACCTATTACTGTGAAAGTTTGCAGCTGTTCCTCATATTATTATTGCAATGATGGAATGTAAGAGGGACCAGGCCAACTGATGAAGAGACATAATAGCTGCAGCATTAACCAGCATTGCCCTTATCTCCAATTTTACTTCTGGTTTTCCAAGTGAATGTTTTTTAGCATATCATTAGTGATCATAAAAGTTTTATTCTCGATTCTCTTTGAGTCTTCCGTAAAATTTTTCAACATCCTGCTTCAAGTATGGGCACAAGATTCCTGTAACAGGGAGACAATTTCTAACTAAAGGAATAATGTACTTCCTACTGCTTCCTAGTCTCCTTTTTTTGCTTTCTGGATAGTCATAGGTCTGTTATCTAAAATTACTCTGGGAGGCCAGTAGTTGATTATCCACTATGAAAAACAGTTATTTTCAGAAAAAAACCCCGAAACATTTTTAGAAGAATGAATCCCATATTTAAAAATAAAACCTCTTTTTATACACTGTACTCTGTATTTCATGACTATTAAAAGTTTTTACTGCTTAGAAACGCAGCTTAACTCTCCTGCACCACTGACCTGTTCTCTCTATAATTCAGCATTTCTGGAGCTGTTCATTCTGTTTGCAAGTTGTTAAATGGTATAGAAAAGTACCAGACCATACAGAACTCTATTATAATAACTCAATAATGCTTTCCCATTTATTATGATGTTTTGAGGTTTATTCAGTAGCTCATTTTAAATCCATGTAACTAGGTTTTTAAAAATTTACTTTAAAAATAATTTTCATATTTTATGAATCTGATTCCCATTCAAACACTGAATGGTGTCAACTCAGGTTTTTCAGAAATGGTATCACTTAAACATTGTTACATTAATCAAGCAAATTTATAGTCTGAGAAATAACTTCTAGCAATTCATAATCAATAGCAAAATTGGGCCTAAAGAAAAGGGAGATACAAAACATATATGTAATAAACACATCCAGCTTTAGGCTCCCAAAAGAGAAACAGAAATGACAACAGAAACATAACCCAAACAGAAACTTCTCCCTGTTACTTTTCATGCAAATGACTCTCAATTGTGCAAAGATGTCACCAAACAAACTTATTGAAGCAGACATTCTGGGATCATTTAAGGAACAAATAAATATCACTAAGCATTCTGAGAATCATCCAGCAAAGACCTTTGGTGCAAGTATAACTCACAACACATTAAGTGACACAAGGCTACCCATGTACTTAAAATGCAATACACTTACTGTGCTTCGTTGGAATAAGTGCAGTGTATTTTGTGCCTAGTTAGATGGGCCTCTTAGTGAAATATTTTCAAAAATCAATTTTTTCTTTTCACTTCTGGATATCTTTTTTCCCTCTTTTATTTGGTGTTTCTATGGCTGCCTTTTCTAAACCAAGTGCTACCTTCACTCCCACTCTTGTATTTCTGTCTCCGGTGAGACTTCAAAGCTGAAGTATCCTAGCTTCTGTTTTGATGAATGAACCTGAATATTAGTAAACATTTAAGCAAAGCTTATGGGATGGCCTTTTCCAAGGGGCTACACATAATAATGTAGTCCATGTTTGGGACAGTGTACTGACAGCATTTTCTAGAAAGAAAATATTTAGTAACAACAGAAGTCCCCCAAACAAACAAACAAATGTCCATTAAGTAATAACTAAGTTAGATCATACAGATAAAGGCAACAAAATTCATGTATCATGCACCAAAAAGAAGTTCTACTTTGCACAGCTCATTTCAGGTTTGCTAAACATAATTACTTCTAGTCTTCCATACTGTTCCCATCTTTATATTTTATACTAAGGAAAAATTTCAGAATAAACAAAACCTGTGTTTCTCTCCAGTCAGGAAATTAGTTCTACATGGAGACCACTACCAAGAAACATCTATTTCAAAGGCTGGGATGATGATACTACCTTTGCTGCCTAATTAGTCTAAAGACAACTTTTTCTTTGACAGAGGAGGCTTGTCTTCTTGGGATACACGAGAAACACTGACATTAGACATTCAAAAAACAATGGTAAATAGTGCCTTAGGCACCAGTGGAATGAGTAAGTCAATATTCCAGCCATCTTAAAAGAAGGAAAAGGGAGCTCAGGGTCCACACATTTGCCAACTTGCAGAAGTGGTAAATTCATTTAAAAAAAACGCCAAAACATTAAATCAGTTTCACTAGGTAATCTGCATTTTCTCATATGTCTTGGGAACATACTTACCTTCACTGTCTGCAAGAACTCTGCAGTAAGAGAAAAAAACATCATCAGGCAGTGGGATGTAAAAGCTAACTAACCAGCCAAACCTCGTCTTTTCCTCCACGGATTTTTAGGCTTTCAGAAGTGATGTATGAAAGCATTTCTGAGAGAAAAGAAAAAACACCACAAAAAACCCCAGGCAAAACAAAACAACAGAATAGACAATAACTTACCAATTATTATGGGTTGTGGGTCACTTTTTACTCCCACACCTGCGCTGGTGCTTGCAGCAACTTCCACGCGGTACTGGATACCTGGATATAGGCCACCTATTACTACAGACCGAATGGCTGCATCTACTGTTTTGTTGATATGAAATCGAGTCTCATTACCTAGGCACCAGATCTGGGACAAAAGTTGATGTGTTAAAAGAGATGAAATTCTTCACACTCACACAATCGCAAATAGATATGACATATCAAGGTATTTCATGGCAATTGCTTATTTGGGACTTCTTGACAACCTTACTTCCTCTCCAGGAATAGCTGAAATTGGGATTATTTAGCTCAGCAAGGTATCCCAGATTAGCACAGGATCAAGCCAGATGCAAAGACTGCTTGCAAATACCTCTCTGGACTCTGGCTCTCCATGTACTGCAAATTCTGTGCTTACACTTCTTAGAAGCACAGACTAGATCATCCAAGTGGCAAAGATACGTTATACATTAATCAAAATCTTGTTTATCAAACCTTTTGTGTAAAAAAAACCCACAATTTTTTCCTTCTAAATTTCCTGCTGAATAGCAAAAGGATATGAGCATAGGTTGAAACACTTCTTAAAGCACTAAGGAATAAGCAACTTTCAAAATTTTTTTAACTTCCTTTCATTGCACAAGAGGGACACTTGAATTTCTGAAATGGAATAAGCACAGACTCATATTTACCGCTGACTTTGTGATTAGTTACATTATTTAGGAATCCAGACATCAGTTTGTCACTCAAATATTATCTAATTATACAGAAAATCCACCCTATAACTAAAACTGGCATTGAACAGTCTATGAGTTCAGAGTGCTATGTCTCCCTCTTGCATATTCTATAGGATTCTCCAAAGAGGTTTCAAAACTAACTTCTAGGCATGTATCTTCAGTTAATACTATCTGTAAATATTGCTTCTGTATTACTAAAGAAAGCACCTACTACCACGCAAGAAAATCAATACATAAATATATCACAGGTACACTTACATAAAAATAACAGCAGAATAAAACACTATTGGTGGAACCACTATCACTGACAAACGAATGCTTCTAAGCAACAGCAATATCTTTACACTTACTTTGACCCTGCTCAGTGTTTTACCACACCTTATCTCTTTTTTTCTGTGAAATGCTGAGAAAGATTTGAAGAGGAAAAAAAAAAATCTTGTTTTCCTAAACCTAAGGTGATCCTATTTGCCAGCCAGAATGCTTTAAAGTGAGTAACTGTTGCAGTCATTCCTTCACTCCTTGTCTGTCCCAGTCTTAGGTTACAACAGCTATGAGATGCCCCTAATTAAAAGCATTTAATTAATGAATGAATTAACAGGCATTCTGGCGGTTGGAGTCAACAAATCTACTTTCAATTTGTTAGAAAATGCACTGTGGAACTTCAGCAATTATTTTATACTCAAATAAATATTAGACTCTCTGCACCATTCACTGTAGCCAGTTCACTACTCAGGCAGCCACCTAATCTAACACAGGAGGGCTGTAATAGGTAGTGACTCCAGCTGGTTTTATACACAGCCCAGAGGCCTGAGCACTCACCTGGAACATGGCTTTTATTAGACATCAGCCCACTTTGTTTCATATCTACATGTTTTTTACTTTAGAAGCATGCTTTACTCGTTTGCCTATGAGCTCTGGATGGTTTATATTGACTTATACTGGAGTCAGGATCAAGATTAATTAAGCCAAAGGATAATTATTAATTGATATGAAAATTAGATAAATAAAATCCTGGGATTAATAAATCTTGATATTGTAAAAGCAAAACAAAAGAATGCTATGCTAAACGTAAACATTGTGAGCATTTACTGCATGCCTCTGACCAAGTGAAAAGCTGGAAGAGGTTGAACCATTGTCTGATTTAGAAGCCAAGCACTTTCTCCCTCTTCATGCTGTGTTCCCTCAAGACACAGCAAGGAAAAAAAATCTTTTTATGTGAAACAAGCTGCAGTCACCACTTCCACCCTTTGTGAGACTGTCAAGAAAGCTGCCCTAATCCATTTCAATTAAACATTTCACATTTGGTGTATATAGGCCAGGCACAGCAAGGTTAATTTACCAAACTGCTCCATGCTGTGACAAGGCTGAACCTCACCCAGTCATTTTCTCCACCTGAATAACACAGTCAATTTTTTCTTAATGTTGTGAAAATATCCTTGTGCAAAAGTGATCTTAGTATGAAATTACAGACTACGACAACATTTAATGTATAAGGAGTGGATATTTTGAGCCATCATAGCAACAAAAATGAAGAAAATACAACCAATGCAAGAAACACTCATGTAGCAAACTTTGGATATACTGGCTGTGTTCTACCTGTTTTTCAGAGCAAACAACCTGGCACTCTAGGTTGTGAAGCTTGACAGAGACAGGACTTGGAAAAAGTCTTGAATTCTCCCAGAACCACAGTCCTTGACTTTGACCTTGAAGTGTTATGATTAGCATTTTTGCAGAGGAAATAAGAAGCAACTTTTCTGCCAGCTTTGCTGACAGATTGAAGGTACTCCAAGACAGGGACTTCACTGCCTGTCTTTGGAGTGCAGAAGCCCCTTACAAAAAAACATTCCCTCTTCTTCTTGTTCCACAGCAGGGAAAAGCTAGAAAGATAAGAACTGCAAACTGGCTAGAAATTAAAGCTCTCTTTCATATCAATCTCATGGTGGTTTTGCTTTTTAAAACAGCAGTAATAATAATAGTAATAATAATAATAATAATAATAATAATAATAATAATAATAATAAAGAAATACATAAGCAGTCAGTCCTCTTTCTCCATATAATTATATGGGCAGCTGTAAATGCTGTCAGTATCTAAATCCATAAACAGTGCTATTGTTCTGTAATTCAAGCAGGCTGTTTCCCTAAGCACACAACCCTCCCATCAGACATGGTGTGTACCTTGTACTCCTGGATGACTCCGTTTTGGTGGTCTGGAGGGGGAGGATCCCAGGAGATGCTGATGCTTGTGCTGTTGTGATTTCCAACTGTCAGGACAGTGACAGACTGAGGAGGAGCACTTGGAGCTACACCAAGGAGAGGGAGCAAACAGAAGCAAGGCATTAATCCATTTGCCAGGACATGTATTTTGCTGAAGCAGTGCAAGATCTAGCAGACAGTATAGAAAACTTACACTCCTAGGGATGCACTTTTGTCAGGCATTGACAATGCTGAAAAATGCCCTTCTAAAGAGAAGCACAGGGCTGAATGACAATGTGGAATTTGTGGCAATGGAGAATCAATACAAATCACTCCTCATTTATTTATCTTTGGCATTTCTTAAGTGTGCATTGGAAGTGTTCTCACATTTGCCTTTGTTTTCCATAATATGCATGAATAACTATGGATACATCAATTAAGTCACATGTGAGGCTGCTTCACCTGGCCTGAAAGCTGTTTTGGTTCTTCTATTTTTACATGGTCTAATAATGATGTGAGCAGCCAACATTTAATGACCCTCTTTTGTTTGCTCTCCAGGAAGACAATACCAGGTTTAAACATAGAACTGCATGTCCGAACTGGAAAAGGCTTAAAATGTTCATGGCTTTACATCAAAAACCAGTGAATAGAGCAGGTGCTAATTTAGGTCACATAGATACTTCTGTCCTTTTCTGCCCCTAGGCAAATTGCTTTCTCTTCAGAGTCATGTTCAGTTCAACCATTCACAGCTGTTTGGCTGGTCACTGCACGTCAAGGCCAATTCTGCAAGACAACTGCTTGCCAGCCCTGGTTGTTGTCTAGAAACGTGAAAAAAACCCAAAAAAACAAAACAAAAAACATAGTTATTAGTGACCAGAGCTATGCTGGCAAAGCCCCTCTTGCAGCTATACCAGCAGCAGGGTGCTTCTGTTGGCTCAGGGAAGTGGTGCAGGACCTCTGCTATGGAAAGGTCTCCTCTGTGAGCATCTGCCATATCCATACTGGTCTCTCCTAGCATGGCTGTGCCTGCCAGGGCAGAGGACTGTCAGTATGGCCCTGCTCAGCCACCTAAAACTTCTTGCAGCCCCCCTCATCCTTCCCTTGCTCCCAGGCAAGTGCTGAAACTCCACCACAGTGGCAAGCTAGGCCACCGAGGTTGACTGTATTATATTAAGGTATAGTCCCTGAGGGGAAAAGCTGATGGATAGCAGCTGCTTGGAACTGGTCCTATAATTTATTTATTCCATCTCTCCCAGTCCATCTACCCAGTCTTTAACAAAACTAATAGAAAGAGGCCACAAAAGTGTGAACTAATAAAGCAAGCATGGAGTGACACCTCTCCAGGACAATTTTCCAGTTCACAGGAGGCTGCTGCTTAGACACCTTCTGTTCTAGGGATGTGTCCTTGTCTTTAATAAATACTTATGGAATTTGTCTTCCACATATTTTTCATTGCTTTTAATCTGATATTAAAACATTTCGTATGAAATATGAAAGCTGATTTTGAAAACTTATGGTAGACATCATACCAGAACCTAAAATATTTATCACTCTCCTGCCCCAGCTTCAAACCTAGATAACAATGGTCTGGGCCATCTCACATCATGTGTCAAGGCTCCCTGACTCCAGCCCCCTGGACAGAGTGACTTCTTCACTGCTAAACTTTATGGCAACAGAACTCCAGGCTTTCACGGATATCCATGCCCATCCTTGAACCATGCTTCCCAGAAAAGCCAAGAGCCCCTGGCATCTTTGTATCAAAGTCTGGCAGGTTTAATACAAATAAGCACAGCTACAGATATCAGAAGTGTTCAAGCCTCCTGAGTCAATTCAGATATTTCTGTTGTCCTCCACAGCTTCTTTGAGGCTGGCTGTGTTCCCACATTGGAAGCTCCTCAGCACTTGACCTGGCACAGGCTCCTGGAGCCAAGCTCAAATCTTTACCCTGATAACCCTGAAAAATTGGAGTGCTCTGCTGCAAGAATCACACAACTTCAAACTGGGGGGTATCAGAGGTGAGGACAAGGAACCATACAGGATTACAGGAGAAATAAAAATATTTTAGATGAAAAATGAAACACATATCACGGTCCTGGGAGGCTTCACATTTCGACAACTACATTTTCAGATGCTGGTTCAGCTGCAAAGCTAATAATGCTTGGTAGAGTCCTTGTGACCTTGCCTGGTGCAGAGAAACAGGGAACTGGAGGGGAGAAATGGAGCTGTATTGTGGACAATTTGACTCTTAGCCAGCTCGAGTGAAGCATGGAAAGGTGGCCTTGGGCTACTCCTTGCAATCGTGCAAAGCATAAAATAGGTGAAATAAATAGTTGCATTGTGTATTTTATGGCAAGTGAAATAATTTGCCACAGTAAAAAATTAGCATTTTAAAAGTCTTCAAGTTATTCAATAACAATAAAACTGTGAATAAATGTATGTGTGTGATATTAATTAGAATATTTTACATGAAAATAATAATAATAAAAATGGCAAAGCTTAACACTGCATAACTCTTTTTGGTTTTAAGTACAATGGAACAACTTGCTCAAGCATATTTACTTTCCTTACTGAAACAAAAAGGGAATTCAGAAATATAATGTCTTATATATGCATACCTGGGGGGAAAGGAGAGTGTGAATGCAAAAGAAATGTAAAATGAATAGCATACTCTAAAATTAAAAAAAAAAAAACTAAACAAAACCAAAAAACAACAACAACATACTGTATTAATTTGTCTCTTCATTTAAACTGCATGAACATTCTAGTTAATATTCTACCAGGGTGTGTTGGTGTTTTTGAGGTTTTTTGAGGACATAGGATAAATTTGAAGCAAAATTAAAATTGCAGCTAATGAATGCAGCTGTGGAAATATCGTTTTAAGAGCTGCATTAAGGTGAGCAGAAACTGACAGAGAGCAGCTGATAAAAGCTAAGGAGACTTCCATTCCTGCCATATTTTTGTGGTGACAAACAAGATGCAGGACAAATACTACTCCATAACGTTATTCCAAAGGAGATTCAACAGTGGATGCAACTGAGGAAAAAAAAAATCATCTGTCTCTAGAGAAAGTATGAAAGAAATACTGAAAATTATAAAATAAAATCTTTGATTTAGCTCCTATTGTATGTGTGCACATGTTTGCATGTACCAGTTCAGCTTCCTCCCTCTGATAATATCACTCTGTAAGCTGGCACTGTGATATAAATTAAGCCACTCGTCTGACACTGCTGCAGTTATTAAACAGATCACATTGAAAAATAACATTTTTAAAACCGTTTTCTCATTTCCCTTGCTGCTGGCTTGTGGAGAACACCTTGCCTGCTTCTTGACAGGTCAATTATTCCAGCGCTCAGCTTCTTCTTACAGATATGAAAGAACCCAAATCGCTGCTCATCTTTTCCAGATGCAGCCAAACAGAATTCCATTTGTTACCTTCACAAGGCCAAAGAGGCAGGAGATGGATGGATTCTGAACTGTGACAAATGTCTGATCTAGAGGAAAAGTCTAACTGCAGCAAAATTGATTTTTAGAGGTAGGCCTCAGAAGTAGCATTGCATATAAAATCCAATCCAGCAGAAAGTTGCCACTACCTTTTGGTCGTACTTTACCTTTACCAGGGATAATTGCTTTGATGTCACAAAAAACTTTCAACACTTGTATCACTTTTACAAATTATTTTCTAAAAATAGTATAGCTGACATTTTTTAAAAGTCAAGTCTAAAAAAAGCTCATTTTTGAAATGGAATCACAGGCAACACAGCACCTTTAAATAGACTGCCATATTTCTTCAGTGAAAGGGGAGCAAACCACCGTCATTAAACATTTAGTTGATACTATTTTTGAAATACATGAACACCAATATAATTACAAAGATAATATGAGGAATTAAAGGAAATATCAGTATTTCCTTTACTGATATTTCAGTATCAGTAAAGGATCTACTGAATGGATCTACTGAATGTCTTAATTTTCTCATGGAAGTACCTAATTTTATCACCCAAGGTAGAGGAAGAATTTTTTTACAGGAGCTGACATTTTTCTGGTGATAATATTATGGGTCCTATGCTGACGTTTTTTGAGAGGAGATACTTGTAAACATACTCCTTGAAGGCTATATTAATCTACAAAGCAGATCCTAGGATGTGAGTTATACATATCTGCAGGCAGGAATATTTTTTTTACATCTTCACTATGTGGAAAGCTATTCCACATGAACAAAGTGTCCTTTAAGGTAGGAAATTACCTGACAGGCTCTGCTGGGAGCTAAGGTTTATAAAAGAGAATGTCATTCCTCAAGTATTTTATAGAAATAGACAGGAGGTATAAGACTTTCTCTCTTTTTCAGTAGTTCTTAATTTACCTTTAGCAAGAAACAGTTAGATGAACTAAATAATTACTAAAAATTTATTGGACAAGAGGAAAATCTGCTCGTGAGAGGACAAAATCCCACATTCTAACCGGAGAAAAGAAAATTCATCTGTAGAAATATTTTTTAAATTTTCTTTTTCATTACAAGAAACTTTGCTCAGAGTGCTGCAAATATATTCTTCACCAACTGATATAGGCTTTATAGTTTGAACAAAGAACTGAGGACCAAAAAATCCCAAATTCCCAATCAAACTTGCAAACTGCTTTCCTGCACACTCTTCTACATGTTGCAGGACCCTGAATTTCCTCATCCATAAAGTGCAAAGTGCAACCAAGTTATCTTCAGTTTTACTTACATGTTGGGTAATAATCACAACAAATCAAAGAGAAAAGTGAGTAATAAGCAAGTCTGTTCTAGAATTAAAGAGTACTTGGCAATCAACACTAAATTAAACCTCAGGAGACTACTGTAAATGATTAAGATGCACTTTTGATAGGAAAGAAAGAGTGCACTCAAAACCCATTGAAACCATATGAACATCTTAAAACTTCAGCAGTATTTCTTTCTATTGCTTTAAAAAAATTAATAAAAAATCAGTGACACAGAGAGAAGATGAACCCTCACTGTTAGGACCATCCTACTTTTACAGGAGAGATTCTCCAGGCAAAGACTACATTGCATAGGTAGAAAGCTAGTTTTTTTAACAGCAAATGATTAAAATTACTTACATCTCATCCCAGTGTCTTTACTTTTCAAAAGAAACCCAGCAGCCCTGGAGTGCACATGCCTTAGCACAACTATATTCAAGGCTATATGCTATAGATATAGAAGATTGAGCATTTCAGAAGTATAAACTGTTCACTCTGTCTGAATCTTGACTGTTTCAGAGAGGCTTCAGAGGTGCTCAGGGGAATCCTCTGCAGTACTGAACAGGGCAATTTCATGAACACTGTGCTAACAGAACCTCTGAAGTGCTGTGCCCTTGAGACTGGAGTTTCTCCAGAGTAGTTAAATATATGTCCTTCACTACTCCTCATTTCCCAGCCAACTGTTCATCTACATTATTACCCATTCAGAAAGATGTGCTTAGTATTAAACACTCATCTGTGAGAGCTTGCATTTATTTTATTTTCAAAATGCAGACCAAAGTCTTTTATTGCAACAGCAGTAGTTACAAAAGAAGAGCTGCAGCGCACACTTTTTGGAAGATCAAAATCCACCTGTACCTTAGAAGGATGTATCAGCTAGAAGAATATAAGACCAGTACAGTGCTTTCTCAGGGGTTATTTAAAGCACAAAGCTGAATATAATATCAAATTTTAATGTCACCTCAGTGTGTAACAGAAATCACGTGGAGGAAACAGAGATGAACACACGCACACACAGAATAACCTCCAGTGTCAGCTATGAAAGCTCGTTGCTTTTGTGCCCCTTTTACCAACCTTCCTCTGTGGTACGAGCAGACTTGGATTCACTGTCCATCCCCTGGAACTCATTGAAATAAGGGCGAACCTTAATTTCGTAGGTGACCCCCTTTCTCAGGCTGATGAGGACGGCGCTGCGCTCGGTGGGGACCTTGACCTCCAGGCTCTGCCACACGGCTGGGGCAGGCAGGCCCGAGGTCTGGCGGTACAGGACACGGTAGCCCTGGATAAACTGGGACTGGCGGTCCACCTAGCAATGACAGTAAATAATACATCAATAAACATATTACAGTAAACAAACAAAACCCCAACAAACCCAGCAAACTCACAAACAAAACGCCAACAAACCCCAAAAAACCACTGCGTAAAAAGAAATACATCAATAAACACGTAAATAATACATCAATAAACATATTGCAATAAACAAACAAAACCCCAACAAACCCAAGAAACTCACAAGCAAAACCCCAACAAACCACTGCGTAAAAAGAAATACATCAATAAACACGTAAATAATACATCAATAAACATATTGCAATAAACAAACAAAACCCCAACTGCCCCAACAAACCCACAAATGAAACCCCAAAAACCCCAACAAGCCACTGTGTAAAAAGAAAACAAACCAGTTGCCTAGAATAGTTCTGCCCTCATCAAAAAGAGAAAATTCACAGTTATGATGCCGAATTTATTAATCTAACTACCTTCTTGTAAGTCACTGTTGATTAATTGTCTACAAAGAGTGTTTGTTTCACATTACTGGTTATAGAATATTTCTTTCTGCTTTGCTTTCTCCAGCTCTATATATCATGACAAATACCACCTTAAATCATAAAACAAGGCCCCCACCCCTCCAATAAATCATGAAAAGAAAACTTTGGCATAAGGCTTGCTGCATGTAAACTTACTAAGCACATCTTGGCTACTGATGTGCTGAAATAGGAGAAGAAAAGAAAAACAAATTCTTTCAGAAAAGGACAAGTCTTTGAAGATACCCTACATGCTTACAATTAGTCCATTACTTGGCTCACAGCTCATGAAATGCACAGCAAATTAAAATAAACATAAGACAGATGCAGAGAAAACAACTTCCAAAGACATGTGCTGTTTCTTGTGTTCACAGCCTGAGCAGCCCCTTTGCATCCTGGGGTTGTGACGCTCTCAGGCCATCAGATGGAGATGGAATGTTGGTTTTGGTTTATATTTTATTTGTTGCTAGGCAAGCAGAATTCAAGATTGGACCATGGAAGTTTAACAATTTTATCCTATAAACAGGATTTTTATTTGAAGAAAAACTTTGTATGTGTTTTATCTTGGAGAGGTTGCATGCCTCTATTTATCTTCCAAAAAAAAAAAAAAAAAAAAAAAAAAAAAACCAAAAAGCCAAAAATCAAGGCATTATGATTCTTGCACAAATTTTTCCTGGAAAAAACACCAAAAAACCAAAACCCATTTGATTGCTAAAAGTAAACCAAACAAAACTGCTTCTGCAGCTGTCAAATAAAGAGCAAAGAAAGTGCAGCACAAATAACAAGATCATACAGCAGGCTGTTTGGTAATTCTGTGTTCTAACTTAGACTCAACAAGTAGGATATTTCTTATGTTCTTGTCAATTTGCCTACTCAAAGATATTCCAGAATTAGAGAAACACTTGTTTGACTTCTCTTAAGAATAAATGAATTTAAGGCTGAAATCACAAACCGTGCTCTATTACGCTCCTCCTATAATCTTGTTACAGTTTATTGAGGCATTCAGAGGGGACACAGATTCTTAGACATTAAAAAGCAATGCAAGCAAGAAGAAAGCTTTATTTATGAAAGCAAGGCAGAAATGTCTTTCATCAAAACTGTCACTGTTAAAAACCTTGCAACATATGTTACAACAACATTAAGCTTGCATTTTATAAACTTCTCTGCATTCACTTTAAGTGAATTTATGCACTGAAAGAGGGATATAACTCACAATAATAGCTTGTTAATACCGAAAGAATCAAGCTGTGTTTTTAAGAAGAACATTAAGCAGCTGTTTCCAGATGAAGGGAGTCTGTAAATCAGAGTAAACTGTTTTTATCCGTGTTTGACTTTGATTAACTAAATGTTTTATGGATATAAAGACTTTATGAACCTCACATTTACTACAAAATTCAGCAAAAATAATGCTCTTATCCACTTTGCAATAGAGATTTTTAACCTAAATTACAATATAAGGTTATGATATTTAATAATCAAACACTGAGTTTGATTGTTGCTTTACTTCTTAGTTAGATGCTACACTGAAAGATGGCATAACTTTGTTAGAACTTTCCATTTTGTCTTTGCTCTATTTTTAAGCTCTACTGACTGCTGCCTAGTGGAGAAAACTGAAAATTCGGAACTGACTTCACTGAACAGTAGCACTGTGTTGCTACAACACAGTATGGAAAAGTGTTTCGTACAGCATGGCACAAACAGAAACCCACCCCCCAACTCCCTGAGAAGATAATATCTAAAGAATACCAATTTTCAGTTTCTCATACTTTTGTATCTACTTCCAGACAGACTGTCCACACACATCTTTTCCTCCCAGACCTCTAAGATCTTAAATTGCAAGATTAAGCAACAGAAGGAATATGAAAGCAGAATGCAGTAGTACCACAAGGCTGTCACATTTATGGGTGCTATAAACTAGTTTGATTTGGGGCTTGCTTGAATCTCACAGAGCTTTCAATTAGTAACTTGATTGCAGTAGGGCAGGGTGATCTGCCCAAATAGCAGATCATTGACAGTGATTTCATCATTCAGAGTCTGGGAGGGTACTGACAAAAGAAAACATTATATATTTTTAATGCTTTCTATAAACATCCAGTTGCATTCAGTATCAAGGAGAGGATACAAAGCTATCTCTTACCCAATTAAAGCTAGTCTGTGTGAACAGGGCCTTTTGTAGGGTCAAAATGTTGGGAAACTACTCAGAGGGCACTTTACTTACTGAGAAAGGTGGATTTTTAAATTTTCTTCAGAGTTTTCAAACTAATAAAAAATTACTCTTGGATAATTACATAGATTAACCAGAAATATTTCTAAGAGGTAGGACAGGTATATTTCACATATATATACACACACATAAGTGTATGTTTATCTACAGTTACACAGTCATATATAATGCAAAGTGACAAAGACTTCACAATTTTCTCCATTTCTGTGGTAATGATGTGTCATGCCACAAGCAGACTACTAAAAATATCCTTATATGATTAAAGACATTAATTCAGCTATGCAAGTCCAAGTTTGGCACACATTCACACATAGGCAGAGCTGCAGAAACATGCACTCTGGCTTGATGAGAGGATAAAGAATGCAAATGGTTGTCACTTCCTTACACAAATTACTCAGCATTATTTCAGTAGTTGCAGGAATGCTCTGTGTTGAATACTGGGAACAGAGAATATTTCTAGTGGGTGATATTAACTCAAAAGATCTGCAACAGTTGCTGATATATATAAAGACACACTTGCTCCCTCAAAGGACAGGGCAGAACACGCAGATGCTCCTTTGAAAGGCAGGAGAGGGCAGAGCCTGGGTAGGTGGTGCTCAACACTGACCTAACGTGATCTACAAGCAGAATTGGTCCTGTGTGCTCATTCTCATCCCCTTTTACGAGTCCATGGTGCAGGAGGCATCTACAAAACCATTTCTGCAGAACAGGAAGCTCATTTTTCCTGCACATGCCACAGCTGAACACCAGACGGGTTCAATGCTATTAGGTTGTTAAAACAACGGCAAGAAACTCATAATGCAGCTTATGCTGCAGATATAAGCTCCTTTCAAGCAAACCTGCTAATCTGCACCCTAAATACATTTTGCAATATGCTCTGTAGCATGCACATTTCTATCCCAAAATATCCTAAGAAATCCTCTGCTCCCACAGCAATTCTCCAGCTGGGCAGAGTAGCTTGCAGGCTCTGCTGCGCTCCCTGGCACAGACTCATAGGAGTCTCTGGAAATTCAAACTGCACAAACATTTAGTGTCCTACAGGAACAAGGCATATGGTGATGATAATCTGGAAGACTGTCTAAAGGACTTGACTCTTGAAGCTTCCAGTGAAGTACATTAATTTGAAATCTACATCGAATTAAAAAAAAACAGCGGTAAATAAATTATCCTTCTGCCTGGTAGCCTCCAAAAAGGCAGTAAGGATTTCAAAGCAGCAATTCTTTTGCCATGTTGAAGAACTGATTTTTTTATTCCTCCTTGTGCCACAGGGCTTCTTTGTAATGCTGGGGAACATTTCATATTTGGTCACTAATGAAACTTTCAGTTTAATGCCCACTGAGGCTACAAGTTCTGACCCATAGCTGAGGTCAGCTAAAAAAGCTAAGTACAGAATATGCTCTTGCAATGTGAAATGTTTTAATAGAAGTAAAAATAAATCATGTTCAAGGCTTAAAATTAGCCATTTGATAACAGTGGGCATGTCTGCCTCCACAAGTCTCATCAGCAATAACTATCTCTGCACCTCACCTCTCTATGTGTAAAGTTAGGATAATGACACATTTTTATCATTGTGATGTAAAATTCAGTATTATTTGTGAAGCACACAAATGTTACGGTTGAGAGCATGACAGATAAGCAAGCATGTGAGACAAAATAATAATTTTTATTCAATGCAAGGTTTCAATGGTATGAATTTAATAAGACCTGGCACCACACAGAGAATAAAGAAGATAAAAAGAAATGTTTAATAGCTCCATGAAGAAGAGATCCTCTATGTGACCAGATAATTACAGCTATATTTTAATATCTATACACAAGAGGAATAAATTTAAGTGGCAATGAGAATTTAACTTTTGACATTCCTCTTCTTATTTTTTAACACTGACATTGTAAGCCTGATCTTCTTTTCAAAATATGTCTGTATGTGTATGTGCATATTTTAAAATTGCAACACAGCCACAGGGAACTATTTCCAAAAATTTAAACTCAAATTTGAAAAAAAAATAAAGAGAAAGCAAAAGCAAAACAATCTCATAAAAGAGAGGAGAAAGTGGTGTTAATTTGCTGTGAGTCAGGATGCCAGAAAGCCAGTAACCAAGGACATTCCTTGGCATTCACCCTTTGAACTGCACAAAACCAACACAAAGAGTCTTATGACTCTCATGGCACTTCTGTCCTTTTGTATGATAGCTACACTATCTATCCATTTTATGTTAATAGTGTGGACTTTATTCTCTGGATAGAGTGGGGTTTTTTCCTAGAGACTATGGTTAATTAATTGTTTTTGTTCTGGTTGTTTCTAATTAGCTGCTTCAGAGATCTTTCTTTGTGTCTTTCTTCCCCTGGGCAATTCCAAAATGCCTCTACAGAGGTCTCTGTGCTTGTCAGGTGGCACGGGGTCACTGCTTTGAGGGATCTTCCCAGTAAGCTGGTATCCATAGCATTTCCAACAATTCATCTTTACCTTACCATTTCTTCACTCATTGTTCAGTAGGGGCACCAGGAAATTCTTTGAGAGGAATATATATCACACACACACATATGCACACACAAATGCATATACATACATATACATTCATACATACATATATATATATAGATAGATAATTAAAATATAATGATGGTTACATGGTATAAAACTGAATTTTATTTATATTGGAGCTTCCTTTTGCAGTATATGCTAAAGCAAGGGCCAGCCTATGAATCTGTATTTCTGATAGATGCCACACCCAAAAAAGGACTGGATGTGATCCAGATTTACAATTACTCTCTGCTAACATCCAAATTTTCTACTATTGATCCATCTGCTTGGGCAAAAGGGTTTGCCACAAAGGTTAGTCAGCCTGTTCTGGAGGAGTTGATGAAATGTGCAGCATTTTAAGAAAGCCAAGCTGAGTGTTGACATCATTGATGGCAAAATGCAGTGACTCTAATCTTCCACAGAAGAAAAAATTGTGGGTTTCTCTATTTATTCTAATCTGTACCCTGACCACTGAAATCTGTCAGGTGCATAAGGATGGTGCATAAGCCCCCATAATAATGGCTGTATTGTGCAAAAACAACAGTAATCCTTATAATACACAATCTATCGCCACACTTATCTCCTCTTGTGTAATCCCCTGCACACATTAAGCTCTCAGCAATATGACATGCAGAAAAAAAACCCTGAGCATTCTGAATTCCTCCTTAGCAGAATTCATCCCATAGAACACAACTGTTTTGATGATGTGCAGGGCAGTTTTTCTCTCACTCTTCCACTTGTGGGTCTTCCTCTGGGCAGATGCCCCAAGAGCAAAGCACTCTTTTCTGGTGTGCAGTGCCCTGGGAATGCTCTCCTACTCTTACAAATCCTTTCCATCAAGCTTCAGGAAGGGAAACAGAGCAATTTGAAAGCCAAACACTATATTAGAAATTCTACCCAGTAGTTTGACCCCTCAAATAGAAATGTTGTTAAGCACTGCCCAAAAGACTCTGTTCTTCTCTAATGAAAGGATATTCACTCATTGTGGGTAAGGCTTGTGCTGGCAAACCAGATGATAGACAGTGTGTCAGGCACTAGCACCATGTGCTTCTGACTTCACTGCAAGTCCTCTGTAGGAAAGATAATTTTGATTTTCAGGTCATGAAATAATAGGGTATTGTCAGAGGTCACTATGATTTGAAACAGACAGTACTTTTTCACACAGCGAGTTCTTGTTGATATTTAACTTTGATTATTTCTTGACATGCAGCGTAATGAATCCACAGATCAATTATCCTTCAAACACACTCATTTTTATAATGTTTTTCCTGCCAGACAGCTAACTTGTTTCAAGCAGAAGACTGAAGACATTGAACCTGCCTGACTTGAAAGAGAAAATGACTATTTCATTGCGATATATATATAGATATATACATGTATACACACACACACACATATGTATACATACACACACACTGCTGTATGTTAGATTGTCAGAGCACTCATATTGGTGTCAAAACTGGATCTTTTCTGGGTGGTAAAACAGAAGGGATAAATAGGCAAAATAGGCAGGCTGAAAGTACTGTGTTAAGGTAACAACAGCAGAAGCTTTACCGTCCAGGTGACTTGCACTGTCGTGGGTGTCAGCACAACAGGATTGTGCAGCCGTACAATGACATCTCCCAGCTCCTTCTGGACTTGCCTGTGATCCACACCTTGTGCTGGGGGGCTGATATCTGCCAGGCACACATATGAAAGCATCACTTTAATGAGAACATCTGTACAGGGCATCAATGAAATTTACTGAGTAGCCTAATGACCTGACTTGAAAATCCTCTACAGCACTACTTTTAAAAAAACAGCACTAAGGTTGAAACCCAGACAAATATCAAATAATGCAAACAAACCATCCACCTCTAGCCACTTAGGAAATAATGAAATATAAATATGATTAAAGGAGTATTCTGACTAGATGGCAAAGTTTTCTCAGCTCGGGTAAATGATGAGAGAGATGCAATGTTCACTAGTTCCAAAGTACTCAGATAATAATAATGCTGCACAGATGTCTGGAACCAAATTGGTTAGTATAATTGAAGAAAATGAACAGTGCTTTTTTATTTTGCTAGAGCACACATGACATTAAGTCATTATATGTTTCCAAACTTTCACTAAGCTTCCTCTCCCCACATGCCATGCACACAAGAAACCAAATACTAAAAATAGCATTTTCCACTGCAAAACAAATTTTCCCTTAACAGACATAGCTAATGAAATCTAGTGCAAACATGAAAAAAAAAAAGATTTAATTCAGGAAGCCGAACTGATTCTCATCTAGTAAAAGACCATCAAAAACAATCTACCACAAAAATTCTCTTCAAGACTATGTGCCCTTCAAAGTGTGTGGGGGAATTGTTTCTTCTAGTCAAAAATTGATTATAGAGATATTCAAAAAAGGACTGATAAATTATGGTCATGCCTGTCTAGGCATCTCTGAATCCTCAGGATTCAGTAGTCAAAGACAGTTCCTCATTTTTTGGCTCAACAGCATGTCCTTGTGGAAAAGATACATACAAAAGAGTTTTTTGCCTTTCTGATGGACTTAGATATGGGAATAGGCATCATATGGGTTCTTTTTTTTTTTCTAAAGGCTATTTAAAAGAAAAAAAAAATTGTCTTAAAAACAAAACCTTTAAATATAACAACTGTAGTCATGGATCTCCAGGTCTTGAAACTAAGTAGGTTTTGATGATCAATAATTCACGTTCCTAATCCTGGAGTTATGGGTTCTGAGCCACCAATAAACAATATTGCCACAGGCTTCTATTGATATCCAAATTAAAATGGCTCCATGGATCCCCAAAGGGAATATATTCCAAATATGAGTGTCAGTGAAGGTGGTTGTCTATCAAATTATGTTTATTTGAAGCAGCCAAGAATCAGAGATATTATAAAATAAAACTGCAACTCAGACTGGCCTAGAGGATGATCATTTGTGCTTCTTTCCACAAAAGGCTGTGATTGTTGCTACAATAAACCTACAGTTATCCATGGCTACATTTTAGGTTAAGTTATTCTGTGGTATACAGCCAACAAGGTACCTGTGGATTCCATCAGAGGAAAAGACATTTCCACAAACTATTTTGTATGAACAGCATTTCATAATTTTCATGGCAAATATGTCCAGAAGTAACAGAATAACAGGGACTAATAAGAGTGAGAAATGAATGCCAAGATGTACATGTGGAATTCAGTTTTCTGGTATGTACACTTGAAAACATGTGTGATGCTCCCAGTGTAATATCATTTTCACATGTCTAGGAGGCTCCTGGTGGAAAAGCAGTTGATCTATCTCTAAGGGTACAATTAAGTATTGGAATAATAGAATCATGACTGAAGCAAAACTGGTGAAAGAAGCTACATCTTGATCACAATTAAATTGGTTAGATATTTTCTCTAACACCTCTTTTATCAGATTTCAGTGAATATATTACTATTTATTACTATTTTGATTTCAGGGATAGGAATATATATAGTTTTTTGGAAGACTTTTTTTAGTATATGTTTTCATCTATTAATAATCCAACAAGAAATCAACTCCTTCATTAGAGTAGTTACTGATTTCTCTGTCCTTATTTCAAGTAAGTCATATAAGACAAACCTTTTGAAAGTATCTGATTATCTACTTGCAGTTCACTGGTGAAAATTTACATTGAATTCTATTACTTGTATTTGCTGTACTGAATACCAGGACATTAAATGTTCAGCTATGAAAGCTACCACAGACACCTGTTGCAAATTATTATTTTATAGAACTGCTATAGCTGCTTTGTTATTTTTCCATGGCCACTGTAAATAGGCTTTCCACCATGTGTCAGTTTCTTCTGTGAGCCTGAATTGAATTCAGGCATAATTAGAAATCACATCAAAACATTATGTTAATTTTCAATTGATTTTATGATTTAATTCTATTAAACTGCAGGCTTGCAAAGAAGTTATAAATCCTGTACATGTCTCAGTGTGCTTGACTGCTAAACAGCTTCTGGAAATGGAAGCTGCAACACATGCTGTAGCTAATTAAAAGACATGTTTTTACTGAAATCAAATTGCTTGTCAGTATGTCAGATAAAAAGTCTATACTTGACACTCAAATGCCAAACAAAGTTGTTTTTTTCTTTTAGCTAGGTGATAAGTTATGCAGACTAAAAGGCTGTTGCAATAAAAACCAGGAGTCACCCTATAATAATGGGAAAATAAGAAAGAAGGAGACTTGTGATAGTCCATGGATAGTCAGGCCATGAAATCCTTGCACTTCTCCAGCTTTTGAGAAGGCAGTTCTGTTTTTCCTTTTCCAGCCATAATTACTATTTTGAGGGTATAACTATTCAGAAAGATTTATTCAGGACTAGGCTGGGATAAGGGAGGCTGGATGGTTATGGGATAAAGAAATACCACTCTACTTTTGATAATTTATCTCTTTCCATCCAGCAAAGGACCCAAACAACTTACAATACATATTCTGGAGACTGACTCAGGATGTGCTCTCCATGGGCACCTTCAGCTCCTCAGAGACAGAAGTCTCTGAATAACAATAAACAGAGACAGAAGATTTAATTTCAAATTAACTGTGACAGGAGCTATTACTTTGGATTTGAAAAATTATGATTCCAAAGAATTATGAATTTCTGTATTACAACACGTTTAACACAGAACTACACTCTTGAATTAAGTATCCAAGCTATGTCTTGTCAAAGCCAAAAAAAAAACCAAAAAACCCAAACAAGACATGCTGAGAAGGGAAATCTGTTTGTGGCAATTATATCAAATTATATCAGTTAGAGCTTGATGCAAAGTGAACAGATTTCAGTTGCTGATTCAGTAGCAATGGAGGATCACAGCTACCAATCCCATCACTCTACAAATGAGCAATTCACTTCAGCCTTCTCTCTTGGTTTATGCTATGGACTAATACAAAGAATTCAGAAATATAGGTATATAAACAGAAGGCCCATACCTTTCTCAGAATAACTTCTATATATTCTTAGCATGCAGATGCCTTTATTTACATGAACGTTCTCACTAAACATTGGCTCAGATTAATCAACACGTGTTGTGCATTTCTTTTGATTAAACATAATTCTAAACACAGTGTCTTGACTGTTATAAACACTGGTTATCATAGTATATCCCTACTAACGGACAGGAAGAAAGGACATGGAGAGGAAAGATACTGAGGAGAGGAGGGTATTCAGAGCGCTGTTCAGAAAAGCTTGGGTAACTCACATTGTTTTCAATCTTAACCAGGGGCAAATCGAGTCTAAGTGAACTGCAAACCAAAAGATCTACACTTTACAAAGGATTAAGGATTTCTCTCCTAAGCCTGACTGATGCAACAAACATTGGACTACTCTCATCTTTACTGGTGAAGCTCAAATCACGATTCCTCCAGAGAGTGTGCTGAAGCCAAATGGTGAGACTGATCTATCAGGGAACCCACAGTTCCCTCCCTCTGTTTTAGCTCAAGCACATGAAATTTGAAATGGCCCCTTACCTTGGGTTCGGACAGGATCTGACATGGGGCTGGGGTCGCTCAGGCCCTGTGGGTTGATGGCTCTGACCATGAACAGGTAGATGGTGTTGGGGCGCAGGCCTCGCACAGTGTACAGCGTGCTCTTCACGTGGTTGGCCACCGTTTGCCAGCTGTTGCTCACAGACTGACTGCAACAAGAACAGTGTGGAAGATTATAAACTAATACCAGAGAAAAATAAAGATGTGAAAGAACTGTCTCATAACCCTGGAATGACTCTAAGTGCAGAAAAAAGTAATAAAAGTGGGGTGAATTTAAAAATGTTTTTTTTTCACTCAGCTCATTGAGATGGACTAAAAATCATAATGCAGCTGTCAAAAGTATTTCTCTTTGCAATAAAAGAAAAACTTTTTGCTATTTCTCTAAAAGACCTGCAAGAAAGCTGTAAAGTAAATTTGAATGATAAACAGGCTACTCTTGAACAAAAGGCTTAGAAAGGAAAGTTCTCTTGAAAGAATAATTTTCTGTACTGCTAAGTAAACTATGTCAATAAACTGTCATTGAAAGAAAAGTCTTCTAGAACTAAATTCACTCTCGAAGTTGAAGAAAAAATTTGAAAACATTCTTTGAAATGTAGGAAATTATATTAATATTTTTTCTGCCACTACATTTTCAATTCAACATTATTATAATTAGATTACAATCCATCATATGAAAATATTTCAAATGTGATTATTAAACAACTTTTAATGAAAATGTCTGGCTTTTTTTAAAGTTATTGATGGGATGCCATTTAAGCTTATCTAGGGTGAAACATCAGAAAAGTTTAAAGAGAAAATTTTATTTTACTATAAAAAATATTTGAATATATTAAAAGGAAAAAGGAAATGGAAAGCTACAAGGTTTATGTTGCTTGAATCACTTCATTGATACAATGCATAAAGAGTGAGTTCTAGAACCAAACCAACCCAACATACTGCAAATACTGTAATGCTCTTTACATACATAATATTTGAGCTAAAATTTGCATGCATATGACTATGAAAAAATTCTTGCATGAATTTTAACATGGAGATGAAGTAAAGTATTTGTCATTTTAGTAATACCTGAATTAAGGAACACATTTAAGAAGGTGCAGATTTTTAAGCTGAAATGTGTTCTAGAGATACATGTCAGAGTATGGCCTGTGCTCAAACAAACTTGCTGAATTGGAGCCCAGGAGCTCTTTTGTACCACACAATAATTGCTGCTGTGTGCAGGGGAGCACCTGGATTCTTTAAAGCCTCAGGCTGCACGATAAAATCCTAAATTATCAATACCGGTCTTGTCAGTTAGAAGTTTTCATCTATCTAAAACACGCACTTTGACTCCTTAATGGGTACTGCTTTAATAAGAGCAGGAATTAAAGTTTGCAGAGAGGCTTCAAGATTACCCATTTGTTTCCATATTATCTATACTATGATAGCCAAGAACCTGCAGCATTCCCACAGGAGACTCTCACTGATCATCATTGTTAAAGGAAAAGTGACAAATAATTACTGCATTGTTCTGTTATATTCTTGTTGACCTGAAGAAATAGTTGGATGTCCAATTAAACACTTAGAAAAAAATGATAAATTACAAAAAAATCAGTGTAAAGAATATGAATCAATGCCTTCTATGGCATTGAGTCATTTAAAGAGCTTCTAATGATATGTTTAGAGTCCAAAAGAACACCACAAAAACCTGGTATGAGGGTTTAAGCAAAATTAGAAAGAAAGGAGTGGTATAATTCACATACCTAAAAGCCTCAATGATATAAGCACTAGCTGGTAGGCTTCCAGGGGTCCCTGGCTGCCAGGACAGGGTGACACTGTTCTTAGTAACATCAGTGACCTGAGGCTTGGATGGTGGCCCAGGGAGGTCATTTATATCATAATTTTTACTGACTGTTGCTCCACCAGATTCTGTGAAGGGCAAATACAAAACGATTACTTTTTATCCTTGGTTATATAATTTGATCAAAGCAGAAGATTAAAATGAAAAACATGGGAAACATCTGCAAAATCAGCATAACGGATGTTCTTAATCTATAAAGAACTAAATCAACAACTGCATTACTACCACATGTTTTTGGATGAAGGGCTCTCATACTTTAAGTACATAATGAAGAAAAATGCAAAACTCAAAAGTTTATATATAAATATATATATATATATAAAGAAAAGAAAGAAAAGAAAGAATAACAAAAAAGGCCGGCTTGCTGAAATGTACGTAAAGTACCAAAAACTTAGTTGCTGATGAATTTCCTGTATTCAAATCAACTGCAGTACTCACAGAGAGCACTTTGGATTTTTCTTGCCCAAGCCAATTACTGGATAAATCCACGTTTTATTTATGCTCCTGTTAGAATTAAAGCATACTGCAGTCACTGGACAAAGATATGATGTGATGTCAACAGGCATTACAAGACAACAGCAACGAAATGCAAGGTGTGTGAAGGAACACAGCCTTCTCATCCAAAACTTTTCCATGTCAAGCCCAGAAGTTCTAGAATAATTTGACTCAGACTGCTGTCGTATGGTCTACACTTTCCTCAAGTGCCAGGTGGAGACACCCCTGGGCACTGCTTACCTGTCACCTCCAGCACAGCACTCCAGGACGTCTCCCCACTGGAACTTGTAGCAACGCAAGTGTAAGTCCCAGTGTCAGAGAGCTGGACATGAAAAGGGCATAAGGGCAGCTTTAACAACCTTTTAGAATCAGCTGAGTTTACTCTTATTTTCTTTTTCTGAATGCTCCTGGCTAAGAAGGACTTAGCCTACATTTTGCACCAGACTAGAAGGCACCAGATATTTTTCAAGCAATCATTTAATGGTGGCTTTAATTTAGAAAACTATAATAAGATTACTTGCTTCTAATACTTTACTAATTCTAATTTTCATATTGTTAATGGTACCAGTACTGTAAATGCTCCAGAAAGGAGCACTGAGAGTATCAGTGTTTGCATTGGTTACAAAAAATGCGGGTGAAATCAGGTAACATATATATACAATATAACAACAATTAACCTCTTAGAGGGTAAAATCTCAGCATTTATTATCCCATGATGACCCATAGGTCCAGTTTCCAGTGCCAGGAAGGATGTTACATCACCTTAGACTCTTATGACAGATGAAGTAATTTCTCTACACCCCACATACAAATGCTGCTAAAAATTAGCAGTTCTCTCTTAACAGTGGCTCTCTCTACATAGACAGTCAATTTCCAAACAGAAGCATTAAATTAGACCCTACACCATGCTTACCTTTCCTCCATCTCACATGGGATTTTATTTCAGGCTTGCAAGGCCCTTTGGTAGCAAAAAAAAATTTGCATTTGTATAAAATTGTTGTGATTACCTTGTCAGTTCAAATATTTTAGATTTATTTGGAGAAACTGTTTTGAATTAGGTTGCCAATGTTAATCTCATGGCTGTATAAACAGTTTGACTAGCAAATTTGCCAAGGGTTTTCCTACTTCCTGTTTAAATTTTTTAAAATAAGGATTTCTGAGTCAGGAACAAGTGAAGACTACAGGGATGGATGGAAAATGGTAAGTTAACAAAGCACAAAATATATGAAGGATCTCTCCTTCCATAATCCTTAAAGCATGGTAATATGGAGGTGGCAGAAGAAAAGGGAGAGTGCTGACTCAAGTGATTATGAAGAATTTTATTCACCATCACATGACTTGGTGGAAAGAGAACTGCATCCAAGAAGCTTTATTGGGCTTTAAATAATTGTAATGAGTTTTCTGTTAAATGCAGATTGTTACTGTAGCATATGTCCTTATAAGTCACTCTTCAAAAAGAATGTCAAGGCAAAAAAACAAGATGTTCTTTAGATTACTTGTAGATATATACTTCAATTGATTTTTATTTTTGTCATGCATGAATTTTGTTGCTATTTTTCTTAAAATACATTGAGAATGCAGTATCCTTATTCTTAGGGGAGGAAGCAACTCATTAATGTCAGCTCAATTTTCTGAGTGAGCATAACTTGCATTTCAGGAGATGGTTATTTGTGTGAAATACAAGCAATAATGAAAACCCCTCTGACAAAGGCTCAAAGTCTCAAAATACAGCAGCACTGCTACTGAAATGAGAAAGACCCTTGAAAGAAGAGATTTTCCAGAGGAGAGAGCCTTATAGCATTCTGAAGCAGTGTTTTATTTTGCTTCCTATGAGATTTTACTAAATAAATAATTCTTCATTACATGATAATGGGGAATATTTCTCAAGGCTATGGTTCTCAATCTCATTTGTGTACTACTGTGACAGATGGTGCACTCAATGAGGTATGTGGTGCACACAACAGAGTAACTTGCAGAAGGCAAACAACATAGAAAGCAAGCTGGAAGTACACTGCTTCTTGCAAGCTATGGCAAATTATCTAACTTCCAGGTTGTGGGTGGATTAGATATAGATTTAGTGTGTTGGTAATTCAATTATTTATACTTTTTTGTGCTATGGAAAAAAAAAAAAAGAACAGGGGAGGTGAATAGAAAAATCTTTACTATTGAATAAAATAAAGTTCTGTTCCTTAGTTAATGCAGGTGTCTAATCCTGGCGTAGCACATTTCTACAGCAGAAGGGAGTTTTCCATCAGTGCTAGTCTGAATGAATGAATGAATGAATGAATGAATCTGAATGAATGACATATGTGAGTTTATGCCCTGAGTCTTCCTCAGGGCAAGTGAGATATAGCTGATCAGAAAAATCTCTATGTTCATGTTACGACTGTGGCCAGTGTGACTGTTCATGAACCATTTGCCTGTGCTGTAACAGAAACAGCAGAAGAGGATCAGAGAATGGTTTGTGTTGGAAGGGACCTTAAAGATCCTCTCATTTCACCCCACCTGCCATGGTTGCTCAAAGTTCCGTCCAACTAAACCAGGATTCTCAAAGTCCTGTCCAACGTGGCCTTGGTTGGAACAGGAATGGGGAATCCACATATTCTCTGGGAAACCTGATCCAGCACCTCACCACCCTTACAGGGAAGATTTCTTCCTGACACCTAATCTAAATCTACCCTCAGCCAGAAGGCTGAGGACATGTAAGGCAATTATTAATTATTTATTAATCATTAATTTAATTATTTAATAATTAAATTATTAATTTATTTTGAATGTGGGGATGTAAACATACTTGGACATTTTCATGGCCCTTTTTTCTTTAGGAAGTGGTGCTAGTCCTTGTTTAGGCAGACCTGAGAGAAAAGTTACGCATTTCTCATTTAAATCCATGTTTAATTAAAATTTGCAAAGCACAGGAGAAAAAACGTGTTTATGTTTCTGTGTAGTTTTTGTTCTTATACCTGAGTCAAACAAACAGTGCACATTACTGCTATGGAGGAGTTTCTAAAAAAAGCCTTTTGGAGCCTTTAAGGAAAATTGGTTACTAGTGAATGAGCCACTTAAGGATCAATAAAAGCCCCATGTCTTTCAGAACCACACTCACTACTAATACTGTTTTCTTCTCCTCTTGCAAGCAATTTTATTTTCCTTTACTTTACAGACACAGCCTTTAACAGTGAGATTAATGCGCTGGCATGATTCAGAATGAATTTCATTGTTTGCATAGCAGCATGCTGACAGGTATCCCAAGAGCTTCTGCCTCCTGGACACTCCACAGAAGCCCATCATCAATGCCTGAAAGTTTGTTTGAAATCACTAGGCTTCCACCTTTAATTGCTGCTTTCTAACACTGCTGGGGAATCTTGACTATTCAAGCGCACTCTTTAATCCAGCTCTACAGGAAAAATGCATTAACCTTCATGGCCTAAACCTGCCTTCAGTCCAGGGAGGAACGACAAATTGTTTACTCAAGACAAGCTAGCATAAATTTTTTAATAAATTCTATTTTGTTCCAAGACAGTTCACAATTCATCTATGATCACTGACGAGATGGTATCAGAAAGCAAAACTGCTCTTTATTTCTTGTCATTAGTACTATGTTTATTGACTTTTTTTGGAAGGGAAAATTTAGTGCTGACTAAATTAAAAGGTTTCTGAAATTATCTTCAAGCTCTTGACAAATAAGTACATTTAACTTGCTATTTTTCCATATGCATTCTCGTCCAAATGCATACAAACAAATACATGTTTATCTTTGAACAGGGAAAAATTAAAAGCCAAAATAGAGATTAGTGATGAAGTATTTATCAAAAATGACAATATCCTATTTGAAATATTAGAGAATACTGTATTATCTCATGTGTAAAAATGTAACTATTAAAACAGGTATTTAATTTTTAATAGAAATCCCTCTGCACATGACTGCATGTATGCTACAGTATTAGTTGTCTTTTCCCATTTGCAGCCTGGTGGAACATTTCCAGGAAGCATAACTCTGGAATAAATCAGCCAGCTCGGGACTGATGAGTTGTTGATGGAGAAAGCACATGGTCAAACCGTGATGAGCTCCAGATCACATGCTAGCACAAGTACTTGGAAAATTACGGTCAGGTGCTGCCAAGGAACTGCTCTAAGTTTTGACAGAGAGGCCAATGGCTTCAGGGTAAGACCAACGAAAAGGAAGGAAGGACTGTTCTTTTATATTTCTATGCACCCCCAACTCATGTGTTCTATTGCAACAAGCGCAAGATTATAAACACCAATTCTGTTTTTAGGAAATTCTCATAGAAATATCTGAAGCTACTTTTGCTCTTCTTTCCCCTGCCCTTTCCTACACAAAGTCAAAGAATGGATAATGACTTGGTGAGAACTGCACAGTAGAAAAGACAAGTTAATTCTGAAGACAACAGGAAGGTGGCAGAGCTGCCTTTGGAGCTTGGCACACGCCAAGAGCTCCAAACTGGACACGCAGAACCTGTCACGCTCGTCGTGCTGCCATTACTCACCCGCAGAGCTTTGATCTGGAGCGTGCCCTGGTCCTGTATGGATGTCCGAGGGTCCCGGCCCAGGAAGGTGAACCCTTCCTTGAGCCAGCTGATGACAGGGAGGGGGTCGCCGGTGGCCTTGCACTTGAGCAGAGCTGTGCCATCCACTGCCAGGGTCTGGTTGACGGGGCCCTGGAGGATGATGGGCGGAGGCCGATCTGTCAAGACTAAAACAGTGGCACAGGCATTGGCATCCACACCTTCAACCATCCTCTGCTGCTGTGAGCCCTATTCTGCCAGGTGGGACAAGTTTTAAGAAGCTGCTTGAAGTCAGCCTCTAAGAGGCTAAAAATATTATTTTTGGAGGAGCCATAGATAGTGCTTATCAATTAGTTAGCAAATTTGAAATGCATTTCAGTAAGAGTTTTATTTCACCACTGCAAGATAACATAGATAGAAAATTATCTGTTAGCAAAGATCATCAGGCTGATTTGGTTAACATAGAATGAAAATTAAGACCTTGATTCAGAGAAGAATTGAAGTGCATAACTCTTTTCTTCCGATTTGGGAAAGCACAAACTGAAACACACCTTTGATGACATATCAAAATGTGTTTAATGGCTTAACCTACTAATGGTCTAAAAGAGAAAATCTGTTGAGTTAAAAGTGAAACACTACAGCTATTCTAACCTGGGTACCAACCACATCCCCCATTCCTATTGTATTTGCAAGTTGTCACCAGCAAAAATATCTAACAGTTATACAAAACATTTTCATAATCTGAGTGATCTAAATGAGGGTGCTGCTCTTTCCAGCAGAGAAAAGCTCAAACTCAATCACACTATTTAACAGCTTATTTATCAAATCACTTCCTCACCTTTTAAAGCCATGAACTCCCCTTTTTTTTTTTTTTTTTTTTTTTTGTCCCTGATAATTTATATCTGCATGCTTGCAATACTGAATAAAGAACCCTGCAAGCAGTGTGAGAGAATGCATGGCTGTGCATAAGCCTCATTCCATGACCAGTGGAGTATCTTGAAGATAAGGTAAAATGCTCATGCTCATTTTTCTTGAAAGATCATTTTATCCCAAATAATTCTGTTGCTGAATCTTTTCTCTGAGCCATCTGTTCAGCAACAAAATATGACCTTTGTTTCTAAAGAATGTGTTTATATAAACTGAATGTGAAATACTTGAATATACACAAGGCTGGAACTGACGCAAAAAATCAGTATAACAGAATTAATAATTATTTTTTCTTTTAATGTATTTTTATATATTTACCAGCCATACTGCTGCCGTTTTAAATTTTGAACAACTGAACAATTGTGTGACTGGTATTAAATATTGTAGCAGGCAGGATTGACTTCAAAACTGGTGCAAGTTAGCCTGCCTCTGCTGATGTCAATTGAGCCTGAATCATTTATTCTAGCTGAGAATCTGTTTAGGATAGTCCATATACTACACCTGACTCTAACAATGAAGTGAAAACAAATTATTATGAAGCAATACAGCTTCTACTGTATTTGAGTTGTTTGAGATGCAAACCTCTTGAACCTTCAACAGATCCAAAGTGCTTTCATTGTGTTATTTATTAAATATCAGGGATATGTTCGTGGGATATGTTCGTGGCACATTTTATGCCTAAAATAATTGTTTCTGAAATTTTAATGTTGCAAAAATACTGCCTACCTTTTTTTTGTTAACAAGATTCACAAACATCAGAATCATTAATATTGTCAGAATCATACCTTGGAGTGTGAGCTCATCACAATCATTGAAATTGAAACTGAAATTAGAAAGCCAATACATATTTTGAACTGAAAATACAAAGCCAATGCAGATTATTTCTTAACACCAGAATGTGAAAGCTATTTTGGAAATTCTGAAATATCTCTTAATATATTAAGAGATAGGACAGAAAACACTATATAACAAGAAAAATGCGATGCATTTTCACCTTGATACAAAATGTTTAATATCATTAAGGTTCCTTATGACTAAATAGTTCAGCCATTTGGCAAAATAAAAACAGATCCCAGCTCCCAGATACTATCAGGGTAGCTGCAGCATGAGTATATTCAAATTAAAAACTCAGCTGTGCAAGGTATCCTTTAGATTTAATGTAAACCAGTAAATCCCAGTATTCTAGGTAGCTAAAAATTAAGGAAGAATAATTATTTAAGTTGCTAGCTATTCCACTGCAGTTATTTGCTTCATCTAAGTGTCTTTCATATGTGTAGCAATGTAGGTATTTTCAAAACCTACTGCATTACAGATATTGTTCTTTGGCATGCAATTAGATTTTTTTTACAGCCCAAATGAGAAGCTCATAATCCTTTAAATAGCTCTGATCAATAGTGTAATTGAAAGCCTCCTGGCCAGAAGGAATCTTCATTTTCAAGGGCGTTATGGGTGAAAGACCACTACAGGTTTCCATGACACTAAGGCTAAAGGTTAAATGAACACTTAGAGTTTCCACTGATCTGTGAACGGCTGTATTGTCTTCACAACTATGACTTGTAAATCTTCTCTAAAACATGTGTGTGCTTGCATTCCTACTACTTAGGTCCTCATTAGTAAGGATCCAAAACTAGGTTAGAGTTTAAAATAATATATATGTCAGAAGCATTATGAAGAACAGAGGGCTAGTGAAAAATAGCCACAAAATGGTGTGGGGATTGTCAGTTGCTTTTAAAACATTTTAATTAGTTTGTTTTCATAGTTTTCTCCTATCTGGAAACTTCCGTATTTCTTCCACAAAAACATTTTGTGTGCCCACAAAATGCATGGTAAAACAGAAATTGATTTCAAAATTACTTTAATTTTTAAAATGGTTTTGAAACTATTTGCCAATATCCATACATCCACATATTCTAGTAACTGAAAAATTAACAGATTCCTTTTGTGTTAAAATGCATCATAATTTTTGAAGTGATTATAGCAAAAGGACAAATTATATTTGTTCATGAATAGTTTATTCATTACAAATGCAATTTGGATCAACTGAAACCATATTTAAATTTGGGAGATATATGGCCAAATTACAATGGAAATTAAGAGAAAGACAAAATGAAGTCTTTACCTTCCAAAAATCAAAATTTTAAAAATTTTCCTGGTGAAATGATGGGTGAAATCAGACAAAAGTAAGGAAATCCACATCATGAACACTCATGATAGGGCAGGGTTCTGTCTGGCAGGTGGAAAAGCAGAGACCAATCCCTCATCTTTTTTTTTTTTTTTTTTTTTGGGAAAGAGATTCACAGGAAGCTGTGAAGTTGTTCTGAATTTCTCCTGTTTGAAACTGTCACACTTGCTATAAAACATTTAAAATATTTTGGATGAGGGTTAAGAATCATGGTGGTCAGATTTGTAGACAAGTAAACTGTGAAACATTTATTAATACATTTTAATAACTACTGAAGAGAAATTAAGATCTTCTCCAAAACATTCTGTGCATGATTGACAAATACTAACACAATACTAATTGGAAACTATTCCTTTTATGTTGAGCATAGACAGAGATGGAAGCACTTGGTTTATTTGCATGATCTGTCATTATAAGATTGTGAGCTGCATATTCATTTCTTGGGTTTGAAAGGATGCTAAGATTCTTCAATTTTTCAATTGATTTTGCTTTTCCAGATGTGCGTTAGACAGTGAATTACATGATAGCCTTTCAAGAAAATACAAGATTTGAATTTCAAATATGCTGAAGGCTCTTAGCACAGTCCATAATCAGCAAAATTATCACTCAACTCAGCACATTTCATCACAGCTAGTAATCTCTTCTCATGTGAACACTTGAGTCAAAAATATTTCCAGTAAAGACTTGTAAGTGCAAAAATGTAACAACTGAAACACTGCTATATATGGTATAATTAAGCACTTGTTTTTCTGCACATTACATGTTTTCATTCTGTATTGGAACTTCAATTGGATCTAAATTACTCTGGATCAAACAAAAATGTGTTCAAAATGAAAAAGATGGCTCGCCACTATTATTAAATCATTAACCAAACAGAAAAATTCTGGGCTAGGAAGTAAAACTGAAATCACCAGCCAAAAACTAGAACACTAATGCTTAAGCATATAGCTAGCACGCACAGTGTTTATCTTTTATTATATTCTTAAATCTATTAAATTAGATTTCCCTGCTGATAAAAGTCATTAGCTCCCATAACTTCTGCTCAGCATCAACCAAAACAGATTATTTAGACATTTATGGTTAACTTCCTAACTAAAAGCAATTAAAAAAATATCTGTGATCTAATGGTACATTTATTCACATAATCTCAGCTCCATCATGTTGTTTTGGCACTTTTCTTTGACCTCACCCGCCCTTTGACTCTGGGATGAAATGGTATTTCTATAAAGCAATCTTGTATTATTTCATAATGATCATGCTGACAGTGGGTTCTGGAAAGCATTTGAGGAAGGCAGGCCCTGCACTCCCTGAGCAGCAGAGCCACCATCTAATGCTCTCTCGAGCTATGTGGAATGCACGCTGCCTTTAATCAGCATTAACCGGAGATGAGCTTGACTTTCAGCAGGGACACTTTCCCTTGGCTTTCAAAACAAACTAATGAAAATTCCAAAGAGATCAATTAGGATTTATTTTTTTCCCCACACAAGAAAAAGATAAAGGTGGATCAAAGCCCTTGGCTGTCAAAAGGAAGAATTTCTCATCACTAGCATCCTTGAACCTGATTTGATCCACTCAGCGCCTGTTGCTGTAAATCTGTGCAGCATCAGCAGGTGTGACCATTTAACAGCTCAATGTCCTCCCAGCCAATGTTTGTGTGTTCTATTTATTCCAATCACAGTCATGGCCCTGAATCAGGCAGCACTATGGACAGATATTAAAAAATATTGCCTTTCTATTCCTTTTAAATGACCTTTTAATCTACATTTAAATTTGAATTGAATGAAAATGCATCATTTTGTCATAGACCATGAGAGAAAGGACTTAAAGAGATTGCAGAGCAAAGCCAAGTCTCTAGTCTCCAGAAACTATAGAAAAGCAATGTGCTTGAAGAGATGCAAAGATAAGGCAGAAATTATTTCCCCTTGTCATAAAAATATAGGCAGCTTGTGGAAAACAAAGAAAAGGCATCAAATTAATGCTCAAACCTCTATAATACGAGCCTGAACCTCTCTACCTGTCACTTGTGATGAATATGCTCTTGTGAAAAGGCAGATTATTCAAAATTAGACATCTTTTCAAACTTTCATGGTGCAGGCAGGTCTCTAAGGGAACAGTAAAAGTAGACCTCTGCATATAACAACAGTTTTAATGGCAAAAATTCATCAAAGTCTGTCAGGAGATATTTAATGTGTCAGTTAAGATAAGGAATAATGATGCTGGGGAATGCCACTGTCTCTGAATATAAGAGGGATTCTCTTGTTTTCTTCGCTAACATGAAAGGATGCAAACTGCCTTCTATCCACAATAAGATGAAGAGGGATATCAACAGGATTTCTGACATATGAAAAGGATTCATGTTTGTAGATGGGAAACCTCAAGGCAGGATGAATATCAAACCCAAAAATTTGAAATGAAAAGCATCAAGACAGACCATGTTATTCTTTTCCTTTCCTGAAAACTCTTATTTTCCTATTGATTTTCATTACTTTTTTCACACCTACCCCTACTGAGGCATTCTTGGAACACAGCTCTGAGGCTGGTGCTTTATTCATGGAGGGACTAAAGGGCTTCTAAACCTATGGTACTCTACCACCTTCAGAGCAACTGTCTTGATATAATTGAGCTAAAGACACATCCCCTACATGTCTAAGATAGGCTTGAAGACTGGTGGAAATGGAGATACATTTCTTTGCACTTTAGTTCACTGCTTTAATTACAAACCTATTCATTCTCCTTTTTTTGGGGTTTTGGTTTTGCAGTCCTATCTTAGCTCTTTCAAACCAAGCAGCTTAATTTCTTACCAGACCAATGCTAAGCTGGTTTGTCCCTTTTTTCCATTATTAACAAACCGCCAGAAAGCAAGTAAGAGGCAAACTAGACTTTGATGCCTTTTACTCCATAGGCAAATACCTTTTCTCACTTTATTTCCTATAGAAAATTGTCCATTTACTTGTATGATTTATGTGATCTCATACGCCTTTATTTACACTGCTTTTAATGTACTTTTGACAGGAAAAAACAATAGTAATTTCTAACAGCTCACCATCAGTAACCTCCAGCTGAGCCTTTGCTAAAATGCTTCCAGCAACCGTCAGTGCTTGACAAATGTAGTAGCCTGCATCAGACCTCTGGATGTTGGTAATGGTGAGGTCCCCGGTTGGTGACACGGAATATCTGCTGTTGGGCTGCAGAGGCTGGTTTGGGAAGAGTAGGTTCTGCAAAGACAATTCATCTCACATCAATTCAAAACACAAAAGCACCACTTTTCCTTCAGCTACAGAGACAATGATTTTTCCTTAAAAGTACTATAAATAATCGAGGACAAAAAGTAAGTGAGATTCTGACTTTATGAACACAGAGAGCTGCTTTTCCTGCCTTGGGCAACTCACAGTTTAAATTAGAAACAGCCTTTTGACAGCTCACAGTGCTGTGTTCTGACTGGGGTGTAGGCAAGGAGACATTTTCCAACAATCACACCTGAGTGATTTATACTTGTGACACCTTCATCTTCATTCTGAATGCAATTGTAATAATATACTCAGCTATCAAACCAGAAGACATCACACTACAGCAAACACTAGAAAACTAGCAGCAAGCACTGAATCCTGGAGACCTGAGGGAGCAGAGCACTATTGTTTGGCTATGAAAATGTTCTGAGAAAAGAAGTAAGAGCATGGCACATAAGTAAAGCTGGGAGGAAGACAGAGGCATGTCATAAGGTAGGAGAAGCTGGCAGAGCATGAGAGTTTAAAGGAGAAGTAAAAGGAAATTAAAATTGTGATAAACCAAAGGAGAAATGCAGCATGGAGCTTGGAGGGTGAATAGAAAGGGTATTAATCTGATGTGGAAACCATCAGAGAGAAAAAAATAATTTCATGTAGGATAAGATATCAGTTAGCACAAAACAGGGAGATTAGTTTTTGCCTTTGGGCTAGATTGGAGAAAAGAGAGATGTCAATAATAATAACTGGAATGGCTCTAGTAGTCATTGCATATGATGAAGGACTGAATGAATCGATACCACAGACCCAAAAAGGTTTTAGTGGTGAGAGCTGTGTTTTCAAGGAAAAAGTTATACCCTCTGGCACAGCCCTTGTGAATAAATAAGAAGAGGAAAAGGAAGGCAATGTGAAGAGAAAGGTCAGCATTGCCCAATGAGCATTGCCCAAGCAGCACTGCCCAATGAGACAGCTTAAGCAATAATTAAACAACAGTAATTCCAGTACAATAGAGTCTGGATCTCATGTCAACTCAACAAGACTCTATGAAGTTGACATGAGATCCAGACTCTATTGTTTGTTTGCATCAGGAACACCCCAAAACAATGTTACCATGATAATCTTTCAGTCATTACTGCAGCCCTGTCTAGCTCTGCTGTGCTTTCTAATGAAAACTCCCTACTAACTTTTAAGCTTGTCTGTATTGACTAAAAAAAAATCTAAAAGTGCAGAATAGGGTATTGAATGAATTTTCTGCAGATCTGTTCCTTCTGAAACAGGCCTCGATGGTTTACAAAAATTATTTGGAACTGATAAGAAACAAACTGCTTAAGAAACAAGTAAGAATTCAAATAAGAAGCAAATTCTATTTTTAAGTGAAACTCATGCCTTTATCTCTACAGTTTTGGCAGCAAAAGGAAAGAGATATGCTTTAAATAAGATCCAACATTCCAAGTAGCGTTATAATTGTATAACCTACTGAGTTACTCATCACACTAGGCTTTTCTTTTACTGCCTTTCAATAGCAATGTTTAAGAAATTTATAACAGCAAACTTTTTCTCAAAAATCAATATTCATCCAGTTAACATGCCAGACAATAGGAAAAAACTGTTAAAATTCTGAAACAATTTGAGGTTATAGGACTAAGTGGGTCTCAAATAATTGCCCTGTTTTCTGAACTGCCTTGAAACTTTCAGAATAAAAAGTTTTACCTGGTACAAGATACATACTGCATGAGGGTATTATGAAAACTTCAGTAAATATTTTGAGAAAGGGGAGAAATTTGACATAGCTGATCTTGATTTCATTTATCACTCATTATGTAAAGTGTAAAATCAAGCTGAATGTAAAAGACAGTACAAGGATTAGGCTCCTAATTCTTAAGAGAAAAATACTCCAGAACCCTCTTTATCACTTCATTACAAAAGGGAATCAGTCCTTATTTATATCTTCAGTATGGGCTTCTCTGTTCAGGAAAGGTACCACGTCCCAGTGAATATTCCATACATCAGGAGGAGTTCACCAGTCTCAGAACTCCAACCTTCAAAGACCAGATAACTATGAACTATAACTTGTCCTAAATTACAGTACAACCCCTTTTAAAATGCTTTTCCCAATTTCACTGGTTTTAATTAGCTGTTGGGTTGCTCATCTGGGCACAATGGTGGTATGCTGCAAACAGAGGGAGCAGAGCCATCCCTAATATAGTACCACTGAATTTATCTCAAGGAAGAATTTAATCCATGGAGTCTAAAGGTTACACACGCCCTGCCCTCGCACATGTCATCAGCAAGCGGCTGTTTGGCTCTGGGGAAAAGCCTACCAAGCACAAAGGACCAGCTGTTTATACACAGACTGGCACAAAAAATTACTCAGGAGGGAACAGCTCCCCTCCCTTCCAGCTGGTTGTGCTCAAAAAGGCAGGACTGAGAAATGGATTCACAACCAAAAATGCCCTACAATTACTGGAGTGGGATAATGTGACTATATAATATTACTTTGAACACTGAAAGTGATGCTGCAAACAGGTCCCCTAAAAGCGTTGTAGAGACAAGCAACAATTTCTAGCTGGGAGGCAAAGGTGAAAAATCCTGTGATTTGGCAAAAATTCCACCCTCCATCACTATGATGATATACACTGTGTGGAAACTCACTCACTCTGTGGCATGTAACTGCAAAATCTAGCAAGTTATACACTGAGATGGCAACCCCAACCTGTGTTACTTCACTGATGATCAATTAAGATTAACATGAGAATGTTGTAAACTACATTGAGCCATGTTTCAAGGTTTGATTATAAACCATGGAAGTATCAATTTTTATGTTGCATTTATTTGCCAAAAAAGTCTATTCTAACCCTTAGGGATCTGGTTCTCAATATGGTAATTAATTTTCCAGGTTTGTAATTAAGCAGCTTCAACATTGTACAATCAGTAGGTAATAACATTCAATTAAAGACACAAGATGCATTTTCACCTTAAAATGTTTTTACCCTTGAAGTGATACCAATGGAAGAGGATAAAATAGAGTATTAGCACTTTTCAATTACGCTAAATGACTTTAATCCTGAAAATGATGTCCTACTTTAATTAGAAGCTCTTCTCTTTATTACAGCATGATGGATGTCCACTTTATTAGATTCAAGTGTGACACTATAAGCTCACTTTACATAAACATTACCATGTTATTAAAATGCTCTACAAGGAAGGGGTTTGAAATGTTTGCTAGCACATCAGTACTTCCTATTTTAATTTCAGTATGCTATTCTACTTTCCCCTTGGAAAAATTGTCACCTTAGTGAGACTCACAATACTATGTTTTCCAGGATGTGATCCTTGGAGGCATCTAAATTTTTCTAAATATTACACTGAGAGATACACACTGAAGGTTTAGCTTGCATTCAGACAATAAAATAATCACACTCACAAAGTCATCATTTGTGTCTTTGTAAGCCACCAAGACAGTAGAACACAAAATGCTGTCAGCCTGGTCCTGTCATTCTGGACCAGCTTTCTGATCTGAGAAGGTGAAACAGAAGCAGGTGGGGCAGAGCAGGAGATCTATGGTTCAGCTCTTATTTTTACCTGAGCTGGTACACACAATGCCTCCAGTAAAGAAATGCTGTGGCATCACATTCAGATACTAAGCTATAAAGTTAGTATGGGCTGACGGCAGCACCAATTGCTGCCTCACAACTTTTGTTTTCAAAGAGGATCAGGTAAATATCCCGATTTCCAAATCTCCAAACCAGATCTGGAAATTTCTTGAGACAATTTTACTGAAGAAAGCATCTGTGTGCTCAAAACCTTTATCTGTATGCTCTATGAGAAAATGCCAATGCAAATCAGCTTGCTGGATACATTTTGCTTGATCATGTCTAGACAGGTTGTGAACTGCAATTACTGGCTCTGATTAGTTCAAAATTGAGTCATACCTTTTTTTATCTGCTGTGCCTGTCTCACCCACCTGTTTGTTGGGGGCTTCAGAACAAAAAGCCTTTAACATATATACTGTTTCTACTCATCTGTACAGTGCCTAGCAAAAGTTTCAACAACTTAAATGGCCTTTGTGTTCTTCAAAATATTAAAAAAAAGGATACAAATTTCAGTAGAGCGTAGTGATAGTTTAAAAAGACAAATTTCTGTGGAAGATTAAAAGAACTGTGAAAGATAGTACAAATAATTTTCCTTAAAATTTAATAATACAACTTTTTAGAAAGACTTGAAAGACTTATGGGGTGCTTGCAACTTACCTGACTTCCTTCTTTTTGCCAGAAAACAGCTGGCTGGGGATTTCCTTTAGTTTCACAAGGAAAAGTCACAGTTCGACCCTGGGCTACAATCTGGTCTCGTGGTCTCACCACAAATTGTGGGGGAGCTACAAGGTAAGAAAAAAACATGGTGTAAGTTTAGGATATTTTGCAAGGGAGAGAAAGGGAATATTGAAGGAAAAAGACAACATTATGGAGATTTGTTTTATGTCAGAGGACATGACACCAGAAACATTTATTAGTATAGACAGAATTAATATATAAACAGAAACAACAACAGCGACAGAGAGCAGCAATATATGTATGTGACATCCCCAGGTATTAAAAAAAAAAATTAAAAAAGGAAAGAAACATTACAACCATACATGCTAGAGTCAATTCTGACAACACTAAATGCTAAAGAGCAGGAGTCAGGTGCTTATGTTGCTGGGTCTGGATGTATTCTACCTTTACTCTGGAAAGGCATCAGCACCCTCAGATCCTCTCACACTTCACAGAGCTTGCTGGAGCTATCGTGCATTGCAAGGTATGAATTAGGATAAACAGGCTGACTTTCTTAATCTGCCCCTCTGGACTTTTAAAAATGATTGAGGAAGGAGAGGAAGGTCTGAATGACAGCAAAAGAACCCAAGTTCAAGAGCTCCCTTACTCCTTTTAGAAGCAGTGTGGTCAAGAATGGTGTGGGGAGGAGGACTTGCTGTAAAAAGAATCATTGCTAAAAGAACACAGACTTGGCAAATCCAGGTTTCAGCTAGTTTAAAGAGTAGAAAGAAGCAAAAGTTGAAGAGTTGATGGGGAGAGGTGAATGGTGAGTAAGAAGGAAGAGGTATTTCAGGAAGTAAGGAAGACATAAGGAAAAGAAAAAGGAGACTGGAGTTAAAACAAGAAAGAAGAAGCAGGACTGGCTGTGTTTTCAAGTTGCTGGCATTAACAGTGTTCAGTCATAGGGAACCAGGAAGCACAGTCAGAAGTGAACAATTTCTAAGAGAGGGGCATAGTTTGACTGGAGGGTAATGCTGGAGAATAGAGAGTCAATGCTTGGGAATGTAAAGGTAGAGAAGGTACTAATGAGTAGAAAGAGACTGGGGAAGAAGTGTTAGAGGATTTGAGATAAACTTAAAAAAATAAAGATTCAGGATTTATAAGGATTACAAGGATTATAAGAATTTGAGATAAATAAATCAGTAACTATGTTGAGCATGATGTAGAAGTAAAGCAAATTATTTTTCTGTGTGTGACATGAAAACTCTGTACTCTTGGTTCATCACTGGAATTCACTGGGATTTGTACTCTTTTGTATATTTTAAAATTGTAAGCAGCATCTTCAAATATTCTTACCAAAAGACTAGTTAACTTCTGGGGCAGGCTGAAGCAGGGGAAAAAAAGCACAAAAGAAACTCAAACCCCTCAACCCACCCTTGTTTTCTTCTATTCCACTACTGGTTTTGTGGGTGTGCAGAGGGATGGTTTAGGAACACTAAGCTTTCAGGTAAACAGAATTTAAGTGTTTTAGAAAACCGTATTTTCAGCATTATAATTACAAACTATTTAATTAGGCACGAAGAGCAATCAAGACCCAGCTTCCGATTACACCTGCTGACAGCACAGACACAAACCTGCTAACTGCATAGAAATGTGAGCAGACCTGATTCTCTTGAAACACACTTTGCAGTGATCTCATGAGATACTTCCCAAGGCTTTACAGATCAGCAGGAGTCTAAAGAGCATCAGTTGAGTAGCACTGACACTCTTAAAGCAAGAACTGTAAAGCACTTAATAAACATAAATCACAATCAGTTGAGAAGGTAGAGGGTATTTTCTTCTGCCTCACACTCCTAAAGAGAGGTTTGGGTCTCTGGAGAGAAATGTCCACCTCTTCCTCCACCTTAGGAGGTGTTAATCTCATGAACAGGCAGGACTAAGGATATGGTGCCCTCTTGCTGCTTGTTTACAGACAGGTGTTTTGAGGTTTCTATAAGGTGCTGCTAAACATACTCTAGGAACTGAACTCATGCTACACCACTCCTCAAGTGCTGAGCTGCAGTGAGTTACTTGGGTTTCCCTCACCTTGTTCCACCCAGCATATCCCCATGCAGCCTCACAGGTGCCAGGAAATGACAGTGTGCTAATCAGTGCAGTGTTTGGGTGGCTCCAAGACCACAATCCTCCTATGGTACCTAAAAACCTGGTGCCAGGAGACCATCCCACAGATCTATCCTAAGCAGGATGGATGGATAATTCACTTCTTAGGCTTGCTTGGTGCCCTGGGAGGTGCACAGACAGTGCTCTCAAACAGATCAACAGAGGCAAGAAGGGCATGGCACTTCCATGAGCCTGTCCTTCAAATCACGTAACCGAGTAAATGCAAGAGAGGCAAGTTTAAAGGTTCATCTGAAACACTCTCACACACACAGATCTCTACTGTAAATCTATAACTCAGAGCTCTAAACAGATACCACACAATTGAATTTGTCACTGTAGCAGACCTTCTAAGGATCAAATTAAGATAATTTGGTAGTCAAGGAACAATGAAATGAGAAAATACACACCCTGGCTTCTACCTAGTTTCCAGTTCTTGACCTGTTCCTTGTTTCCTAGTTTTCAATATCTCTCATTTTCCTAAGAGCAGAAAGAAGTTCCTCTATTTTTTTTTCCCCAATCAGACAAGGAAAATAAATCTGTAGCTCTGACATGGACTGACCCTGCTGCTCTATTCTCTCCCTGCACCACACCATGTCCTCTCCACCATTTGACCATACCACCATATCTACCCTAAGTAGATATTTGGCCTCAGAGTTACTAGGTCAGGCTTTCTAAAGACTCCAGCAAACAATCACATAGTTAACGTAGTTATGCAACAATATCTTTTTTAGCTTTGCTCTGCAGCCTTAATTACTAGAAATTCATTATATAAACAAATCAATCAGAGCTTTTACTCACATTAAATAAAGCACAAAACCAGTTTCTTCAGCCAAACTATTTAGTGCCATATTTTTAAAGGACACGAAAAACATAATTTTTGAAAACTAAAATTTTGCATGGATTTTTTAAAAATTTATACAAGGATGCAGTTATATAATGAAGGAAATCTTAATTTTGTCATAGTTTGTTGTCATATTCAGCTATAGCTCTGTTTACAGACAGCCTCTGATAAAAATACCATTGTTTACAGCATTTAAAGACTGTTTGTTTTATCTGTCAATTTCTAGTTGAACTTGAAAACTGAAAGTAACAGCTCATAATTGCAGGAGTAATTCTTGGTCAAATGTAACTACCCAAACACTGTGACTGTCATTATCCCCAGAGAATGCAGCATGACCCTGCTCAGAGACAACAAGGCTTCTTTGACAGAATAAGCACTTGGGTTCTTCAATTTTCCTAAAAAGAGAGCTCATTATGCTCACATATGGATGCTGTTTATAAATACAGACAAATGTTATTATTTGCATTCTGCAGAAGGGTTAAGTGAGATCATGACTTGCTCCAAGCGTGGCTTCATTGGAACATTGGGCAAAATTTATTCAAGCGATTATTGCTGCTCTCAAAGTAGGTGAATTTCTAAAACATTCTGAAAATGTACAGTTAGAGAAGTAACAGCAGGCTTGATATGCTTCAGCTGTTAAAGTTATGTGGTACTTTAATGCTTAGTTCAAGCTAAACATTAAGATCATTAGAAGGATCTGTTGAAAAAACTTATGATGCAGCAAACCAAGTGCTGTGCCTATCAGACTATTACTTTTTATTATTTCAGATGTAACATAAACTGGATTGGAAGAAGCAGAGTGGAAAACCTCTTGCTTAACTGACATCTGAAAGTCAAAGACAGTGGCTCTAAAATGAAATATATTGCTTGGATTCCAGCAGACTAGCCAAAAATATGGGAAGAAAAAGAACAATTAAGATTACAGACCCAATACACTTCTATTGAAAATTCCTCACCTTTTTTACTTGAGAAATTTAAATTGTACACAGTAAATTAGATTTGATTTTTGGCAAATTATGCTTTGATACTGCATTCAGCAAGCGCTGGCTTCAATCAATGTCACACTAGAGCTCTGTTATGCTAATAGATGATATGGAAATAAGATGGTTGAACATGAATAGAAAGCACAGGCCATGTACGAGGGGGCTTTGAGATGAGGGGATGGGGGGACCCTAAGGTTAATCACATCATGTTCAGAACTGTTTTTACAGCACAGAACAGTATTCGACTGCAGGAACTAAAATGGAGACAGAAAAGCATGAGCAGTAGTGAGCATTAGTTATGTTGTACAAAATAGAAAGAGTGCATTCTATTGCACTCTTTTAGAATGTTGGTGTTTTATGCGTGACTGAATGGATATTTTATGCTGTTAATAAATGTATATGAAAGTAGCCCCTGCTCTGGTGTTAAAGAGCTTTAAGAAAAAAATACCAAATAAAAAAGCTGCATATTACTTCAAAGGGATTTCTCAACTCTACTCCAATCTTAATAGTTAGCAGAATCTTTAATCTGATAGGATGGATTTCATGCATTTCTTCTTGATACTGCTGCTGAATACTAAAGGTTACACTGAGTCAACAGGAGCTGATAAAGCTGCTGATGCAGAAAAGCTTGACTGAGACAGAAAGTTCATCTCTTGTGGGTGAACTCTGGTCATCTGATAAGAAATGTGGCAGAAGACTCAGAAGGGGAGGGGAAATTTGATACAAAAAAATGTGAATTCGTAGCAAAAAAGTACATTGATACCATATCAAGTACTAGCAACATTTTTTTTTTCCAGTGACAGTTTTCTCAGCTGATATTGTGATTTGGAGTTCACATGGAATTCAAGGATCCTATGGGAATTTTATTATCATAACTTGCTCACAGTACCTTCCCCAGACCAGATGCCCTTGGGTTCATACATTATATTGGTGATTTTAATTAAAAGTAGATATTTTAGCAAGTTTTTTTCTAATATTTCTACTGCAACAGACAGGATCAATGAATTAAGACAAATTGTAGGAAGTTCAACAAGGCCAAGAGCTGGGTCCCGTACTTGAGTCATAACAATCCCAGGCAGTGCTACAGGCTTAGGGAAGAGTAGCTGGAAATCTTCCCAGCAGGAAAAGACCTGGAGGTGCT